TAAAGATGAGAAAGAAGAAGAAAAATGACGTTCAAATGTCTATGAAGAAGATGATGGTTAATAAATACTCAAGGAATTTGAAGGTACACCGTCAAAATGACCCACTTTCGAGATTCGGGCTTCAATTATTTAACATTTTCCCATCCTATTATAATAATACCAAGATCTTACATCATTATGAAGTCTCAAACCTTTGACCTAGCATAAAGGTTAACATTTATATGTTGATCAATCTAACCTAGATTTGTCGTTATTAAATCATCTCAATTGTTGCCTTCGCTGGATCAATATCTGACCCTGGAATAATCATTGATTCATTCAAAGTTCATCTTCAAGTAAACTTGAAGTCTCAGCCAATTAATCAATTGAATCTGTTTTCATTTGCTATGATCCTTACTGTTAACCTTTATTTGTTGATACTAAATGAAGTCAACCTTTTGTGGTTTAATTAATAGTTTGGGTAAAAATTTAACCTATCAACCTTCGTATCAATGATTGGAAATGATAATAACACCTTAATAATCACAATCAACTGTCGAAAATGTTGGAGTAATTAAAAAATGTTGAAACAAAAAGGTTTTGATAGTGATTACAGTTATTTAAAGTATCAAAATGTTATTATTTTACTTTATCCAAACATAAATAACATGACCAAAGGCACAATCTATCAACTTACGGGTGATGCGATTTAATTTACTTGTTTATTGTTAATCCATTTCTTTCAATCTTTTTCAGGTCATCTCAATAATCAACACTAACATCATCATCTTAATTTCTTGATGCCTTTGATACAATTAAAATGAAAGCCTTGCTTTATGATTTTAATAATCTTTTAACTGCTTTCACTTATTCAATTGATTTCTTTCGCTACCATCATCTACAATAGATAGCCTTTAACAACGAAAATTAATATAAATGAACATCATTATCACTGATTACCTATTCAATTGCAATTTAAATCAATCTTTTTTCAAATTAACTTTTCTTATCCTTTCGAGTTGACATCGCCATCTAGTAGCAGAATGAAGCAGTTAAACTTACCGTGAAATAAACGTTATAAAGTGTAAATTATTCAAATATTTTGCTTGTAAATCATTAAATTATGATTTCAATTGATTGAAACTAAACAAAAACCATTGAACAATGACTCTCATCATGAAGAGTCAACAATTAAAATAGCAAAATCAGTCAATTCACTAAGATTCATAGGCCAGCAATGACCAAAAGCTGAAAAATTTTGAAATATTCTGTAGATCATTTCTTCTGTGTTTCCAATTTGGTTGATTCCACTTCATTTAAACGAATTAATAACCTTCAAATCGACGCTAAATGACCTTATGTCTAAATTCATTGACTCGAGTATGACAAAATCTACCATTTCTTATATAAAATCGCTCTGATTGAATGAGGCGATTGCAATTCTTGTAATCTAATGATTTGGACAATATTTTGAAAATAAATATTTGTTGATTTTACAACAGATTGCCCTCTTAGACTCGCTAGGTGATTGAAATCGACTAATGTTCATGGCGAAAATTTTCGTAAAATATTTTCAATTTTTTTCACCAAAAAACCTAAGCATAAAGCTTAGAGAATTGGTTCGCTAAACACTTTCATTGATCAAAAAACTGACACCTAGTATTTCCCACTTTTCATGTACACCTTATGGGCTAATTAAAACACATTTCATTAGAAAACTCGACTAAAAGTTCATGCCGACCCTTGTTAGTACTCATTACCAAAACTATTTGCACCAGAAATCTCTTCAACTAAACAACTCTAAATTGGCTAGAAATTTGGACATCGAGTTGATCCTGATAAATGACAATACACAATGTAAGACTGCATAAATTCATAATCATAACCGTTTCAACAACGAATAATCAGTTTATCTGAATGATTTAACCATCATTTAAGCCAAATTCGGACAACATGATTCGTGCAATTTAATAGCAATACAATGGAAGGTAACAGTAAATCCAATTAAAAAATCAGTTTAATATTAATTTAGTGTTACAGTTTTTTCTCATCGGATACAGGTTGGTCACCATAACAATGGTATCAACATATTATTATTAATTGTGTATAAAGATTATGTGAGTATTATTATTATTTATCAGGAAGAGATTATTATCTTCGTCATCTTCATCATTATTATCGTTTATAAGATTTTGCTCTGAACTAAAGTGACTTTGGTATTCCTGTTCAAGAAGAAGGTAAGTTTTGTCTGATAGACATTTCCCCCTCTACCAAAAAATATGAATGTATAATTGACTGAACTGTTTAAGGATGAAAATGTGAATCTGATAATAGACCATGAAATTGACTTTTGAGCTTGTTTCTCACCAAATCAAGGCAAACCCATCTTTCAATATACAATAATAATGTTGATGATAGTAATAATGATATTAGTTGGATAAACTAAAGTTAATCAAAGTTTAATTTTTTTAGCAACAAAAAGAAGACAAGTTGACCTGTTCATGTCAATGTATGAGAGTAACGACTTACCAATTATTCTGGTGGAACCATCATGATGTGGTCATCATTATCATCAAGTTAACCATCACGGTTTGTTCAACTTGATCAACACAATGTCAAGCAAAATCAAGTGAAACCAAAAAGCCTGAAAAAATGTTTATAAACAGATAACTGTAGTTACTGTTAATACAATGATCAAGTTGGTAGTCATGAGTCTCTCACGAACATTGATTTTAAATAGCCTACGGTTATTTATTTACCTGACTTGATCATTCACAAATATTAGTGTTGCTAATAGTGAACATTTGAAGCTACTCAAAGCAATTGAAATTGTTACCAGCAAATTGTGACGATTGATCACTATTGTTACAATAGACGTTAAACATTTGAAAATATTTTCCGCTTCCAAAAACAGCAACAATTTGACCAACAATCAAACCAATAATGGATACAATTTATAGCTTTTTTTGCTGATTACTTTGATGCTTGTAATTGAATTAACATTCAAAGTCTCAACCTTTTCTTTCTCACTACCTTTGACCCTCAGGTGCTAATTAATATTTTCATTTGTAATTTACAATTGAATCTTATTAGCTTTTTGTTGTTTTTCCTTGATTGTTGTTAAGTGTTTGTACATACAATAGTAACAGTTTTGCTTTGATGCCGTCTGTGTCAAATGATGTTTGCTTGTAGCTGATTACATTTGATGGCAAATAGTAATTAAAATTAGTTTAAATGACTGTTTCTGATTGTGAAAATACGCCAAACCCGCAAGGTCTTTTCATTACGATTGATGGTAAAGTAGTAAATGGATCGGAATCAAGAGAAACTTGAACGGACAAAAAGGATTCTTGGCTTCCATTCAATCTTATTTATTTATTTCAATTAAAAGTCATTTGCTATTGCTTTTAATTGAAAACATTTATGCTCATTCATATTAATAACATTTAATGTTGTTGATTAGTTTCCTTAATCATTCCAATAACATTTCATTCATTTAATAAATCTTGTTGAATGATTAGAAGAAGCAAAATCACAAGCTAAATGTTCATGAGACTCAAAATGTTCATTAAATATTCACACTTTAAATCAAATCAGACGATTATTTATTTAATTTTAAGAAATTCGTTTTCAAAAATCACAAATTCTTTGATCATTTCAAAGCTCAATTGCATGATTCAATTTTGAGCTTGTTTCATATAATTGCTGATATTATCACTGCAAAAATATAATAGACACTTTGATATATTGATGAGAATCAATTGAAGTAATGATTTTTTCATTATTTATCGTATTAATCATTGTTAGTGGCAAGAAATTAAGGAATGCATTTTTGATTCTTTCAAGTATTAAATCGTTTCTTAAATTTTATTATACAAATATTTATACAAATATAGCAACAAGTTTCTGTAGCTCTATTCATATATAATTTAATTAGCTAATTAAGGTTTGTTGGCCTCTAATTTCGTTTCTTTAGCTTTCTTTTCTTCCTTTTATTCAATGTAATATTTCGTTTATTACCTGATCATCATCTCTTTCATGTGAAGATATTTGAAAATGAGAAAAATCACAATTAACTATTATTTAATAGGAACATGCATTTTCCTTCCCTTTTTCAATGCCTCACTATTAGCATATAAGCTCTTTATTTAGGCATTTTTATACCCGAAATAATTTATTTTAATTCTCGGTCTTTTCAGCTTTGCCTGGATTCATTAATCAGTGATCACGTTGAAAGTTGGCTGATTTTCAATGTATCAGCCAATCCATGATCATCACGCTGACAATTAACCAGTTTATCCAAACTAAGAAAGCAAATCTTTTATTATTTATATACATCGTATCAGAATAACTTTCCAAAAGTGAGAGACTTGAACTAAAGCAGACGAATCTTGATTTTTGATAGCTTTTTCAATTTAAATTTATCATAAAATGATAATTGTATGACTGAAATCAAATTAATAACATCATTGAAGTTGATACAAAAAGATATCAGTAGAAGATTGAAACAAGTCGTAAACCCGAGTTACCTTTAAACAAACATCTTGGTCATCCACTTTGTTATCTGATGCTAAAGTCAGTAAAGCTGAAAGTATTAATTACCGTGATGCCTGAGCTGTTAATGAAGCGGATTAAATCAAAACAATGAGTTACAGTGAAAGGTTTTAATCAATTACAAATGAAGCTCATTTAATGAACGTAAAAATTGTTGAATAATGAATTTAGTCAAATATAAACAGATGAGATAACGCCATCTAGGTTCAAGTTTTTAAGCACAAGTTTGAGATTCTCTTAAATTGTTGATTATACTTTATTGATAGCTAATTGAATTATTAAATGGATCTTGAATGATTGGATTAAGTTTCTTTGCATATTCATGTAACTGAGAAGATCTTTAATGAGGATGAAATTCATCGATTTCATTTATTGATTGTGAAAATTTAAATTGGTCTATTTGTTAACAAGTTACTTGATAGATGGTGCTGTAAGAGATTCGGTGTAAATCACATGATATAACATGATTTAACATAGATGGCGTTTTTTAAGCTCATCTGTTTAAGTTAATTTTAATTGTCATTTTTCTCAATTTTCTTGCTGTATCTTTATAAATTGTGATTTTATTGGATTTTTAAATAAATAATTTATTTTAACCTCAGCCATTTGATTTGATTGCAATTGTTTATTTTCCTTGGTTCTTCCTCTTGTTAACAGTCGGCATTGGTAAACATGGTTAGTGGACCTGCAGTGGATAGTGAAGGTAGAAAAATTGTCATTTGTGATAATGGAACTGGGGTAAGTTTGATTTATTCATTAATTCTTTGTCGCCTACAAATGTCATCTGAGAGTTTCAACGTTTAATTGGAAATAATTTGGTTATTTGTTTCTCTAGTTTATCAAATGTGGATATGCCGGTACAAATTTTCCTGCCCATACATTTCCATGTATCGTAGGCCGGCCTATCATCCGAGCAGCTCAAAGAATTTCCGACATCGAAGTGAAGGTAATTGATTGTTTTTAGACCATCTGTGCGTTTAATTGTAAGATCTAATTGATATTCTGAACTGATTACATTCTTGTAGGATCTGATGGTTGGTGATGAAGCCAGTAAACTGAGGTCTCAATTAGAAATATCTTATCCTATGGAAAATGGTAAACAACTTCATTCTCAACTTTGGGTGGAGAAATTGATATCATTCATCCGGTGTTTGATTGGTTACTGATTTTATCTTTTATTGCAGGTATTGTTCGCAATTGGACTGATATGTGTCATGTTTGGGATTATACCTTTCACACCAAGATGGGAATCAACCCTAAAGATTGTAAAATCCTCTTGACAGAACCACCAATGAATCCATCAGATAATAGGAAAAAAATGTTCGAAGTAATGTTTGAAAATTATGAATTCCATTCTGCTTACATTGCCATCCAAGCTGTTCTCACTCTTTATGCCAACGGTAAATTTAATATAAATAATTCGAGATCATACAATCAATCCAACCTATTTCCTTCACAAATTTGAAACAATCATCAATGATACCTTATTAGTCTATTAGTCTATTGATTTTAATCTTTGTTCAATCTAAATTATCAGGTTTATGTACAGGAGTTGTATTAGATAGTGGTGATGGTGTTACCCATATATGTCCTGTGTATCAAGGATACGCCCTTCCTCATCTTACTAAGCGATTGGATATCGCTGGCCGCAATATTACTAACTATCTTAGTGAGGTGAGAAAGTTCTTCAATTTTCCAATTCTATTTAATAACATCTTGTTTTGTTTATATTTCTAATAGCTTCTTCTACTCCGAGGATACGCCTTTAATCACACTGCTGATTTTGAAACTGTTAGAATTTTGAAAGAGAAATTGTGTTACGCTGCATATAATATCGAACAAGAACAGAAATTAGCCAATGAGACAACATATCTCACAGAAAACTATACGGTAAGCATCACAATATTTCTTAATTCATACCATTTAACATGTCATTTAATTTCGTATAAGAAAATTGTCATTCTTGTGAACAAAAAAAGTGATACATATGTAAATATGGCATAAATTATTTTCTAAGCTCCACTCTATTCTAATCATCTCTCTGTCTCTAAACTTAGCTTCCCGATGGAAGAGTGATTACAATAGGAGGTGAAAGGTTCGAAGCACCAGAAGCACTTTTCCAACCTCATTTGGTTAATGTTGAAAGTCAAGGAATCGCTGAGTTAGTTTTTACAACCATCCAAAATGCACCAATGGACATTCGAAGTGAGCTTTATAAACATATTGTGCTCAGTGGAGGCTCAACAATGTACCCAGGTTTACCATCTCGTCTTGAAAGAGAAATAAAACAATTATATCTGGAAAGAATTTTGAAAGGAGATGCTGGTAATTTATCGGTAAGTTTATATTTCTATTGTTAATCAAATTTAACTTTTGTTCTCATGTACTAATACCTTGAATTATTTCATTTTGTATTTTTAGAAATTTAAAATTAGAGTAGAAGATCTTCCTGGCAGGAAAGACATGGTTTTTATTGGTGGATCTATTTTGGCTAGTACTGTTAAGGATAGACCAAACTTCTGGTTATCTCGTGCCGAATGGAAAGAGTATGGACCAGATAGAGCTCTTGCTCTTGTAAAAAGCAATTCCGCAATTTAAATTGAGAATGAAGATTTATAAATGAATACTATTCAAATTTCTTGTAAAACATGGCACCCATTACTGAATAGGTGAAAGAGTTGAATTGGTTGATCGTTCTATCCGAAGAAAACCATTCAAAATGATTGTAAACAATCTATTTAAGGTCAGCAACATTGGTTAAGTAACTTCGCTCTGAATTCCGACACAACTTCAAACTCAATCATTTTTTTCATGATATACTTTTTTCTACTTTCCTTCTCTTCCTGTTTTTTTTCATTTTCACCCAAGACCAAGTCAAGTATGAACCATGAAAAAGTTGAGGTCATCAAAAAATTAAGATAAAAGCAGAAACGATACCAGTTCTCAGCAAATCAAAAAAATGCAAAACGAATACAAAAAAAACTTTTTTCTCTGTTGATTTTGTTTACTCTCAAAAATATTACTCAATTTTTTTGTTGTAACTGACTGTTTATTTTCACCTCATTTCAACAAAAAGTATATAGATGATTCAAATCAATCATTTGTTATAAATTGCACAAATCATGTTGCCTCGGTAAATTGTTCACATTACAACCTCCAATCTTCTCATGACTTACCTAATTGAATGTGTCAAATTTTCCTACGAAAGCAAAAATGCCTCAAATTGGAAATAATGAATTCAGAATCCAAAGTTGATGCCTGTCTATATTTAAAAAGTTGACTGAACTCAAAATTCCAAGAAATAAAATTGCAAAGCCATGAAATGAACCGCTCTGGTAAAATGCATCGAATAACCACAATCGAATCAAGCTCAATGAAAATTAAAAATCAACAATTGAAAAACACTTTCCTGAAGATACTCAAACTTGATCTAAATAAATGCATGTTGGAATTTAATCTGTCTAGTCAAATGTTCAACGGTTATTTATATAATTTTTTTGTTTTTTTCAACAATGAAACAAAAAAGATTTATAAAATCATTGATAAACAAAAAAAGACTTTAAAATGGAGGACAAATTAGGAATGAAAAGGTAAAACAAAAAGGATGATGAAAATAATGATGAATTAGTTTAGTTGCTATGAGAAGATGACAACAGGAAACATCCTTTCAGATTATTCATGGTATGCATCATCTCCTCATTAGGAATTTAATTTAATTGCTCTAATCTCTTTATGATATTGTCTTCAATATCCAATCTTTGAATCTTGTTATTCTAGTACAGACTCCAGGCAAATTGGGCTCAGCACATCCAATTCCCCATGAAATAATTCCGGCCAAGAACCATTTACCATCATCGCCTTGGACTTGCAATGGTCCACCAGAATCACCCTACAAACAAAAAAAAGATATAATTAGCAAAAAGTGTCAGAAGTTGACCAAAAATGAAAGTCACTGGAAATGCGTCATTTACCTGACAAGAATCACGGCCTCCCTCTTCATAACCTGCACACATGAATATCTCTGGGATATATTCATGTCTACCAGCCGAGAGGAACATGTTTTTACAAGCATCGTTACTAACAATTGGAACTTTAACCTCTTGAAGAACGGACGGAAGGATTCCTCCTGTAAAGAAGAAAAAGAAGATTTGGTTTTGTCAGAAGATTTTTTCTCATTTCTCATTGAATGTGATTAAATTACCTTCACTTAAACGACCCCAACCAGTTACAGTTGCATTACGTCCAACCATTTCAATCCTGTCCGGTGGAAGGCAAATTGGTGCAATATGAGGCTGAAAGTCGATAGGTTCATCCATTTGAACCAGAGCGAGATCATTCTCATAGGTGAAGAAATTGTAATGAGGATGGACGACCTTTTTCTTGGCCCCTCTTTCAACGTATGCATAAGGCTCCAAAACATTGGCAAAATCATATTCACCGACTCTAATCCGTATTTGGGAAAGCAGCAAACTAAACAAAGAAAAACAAAATCACAATTAACATTGATTTGAATGGTTTGAGTTAGAGTCAACTTGGATGCTTTGGAAGCAACTTTTGTCAAGATGTTTAATTGTACAACAATATCAATTGTATGCAAATTTGAAGTGAAAAAACGCAAAGCTAAAACAGGAGTAATTCATTGCTACGGAAATGATTATGATTTAGGTGAAAAGTTGAAATTTGATTTACAACTTTAACCAAAAACAAAGGAAGTTACAAGTTGGTGTTAATGTAAATGATACTCAAGCTAGGAATCAATTGGAAAACTTGAAATCAATGATTAATCAAAAAAGGCAGAACTAAATGAATTCAGTTTAATATTCTTGATAAAGAACGTGCTTTTCCAGTCAGTTTTAGATGTTAGGGCCAAAAATAAGAGTGAAAGATGGAGAAATACATTTTTTTCTGGTCATCTACTCAAATTTATCATGCTGAATGTACATGATGGATTATTGAACGGACATCATAAATGGTCCTTTTTGGGCAAGTTAACTGACCCTCCCTAGATGCTGGTCATGATTATCATGACGGAAAGGATAAGAAGAAACATGATTATGATGACCAGCGGCATCAAGAGATTGTCTCAACTTTAGTCTCATATTTGTGACCTGATTCAGACTCGTTATCGTTCTGTCAATATTTCTATTAATGCTACTTCATTTTACTTGTTACTACCGTTACTAATACAACAACTGTTACTATTTACAATTATTATCATTAATATTACAACACTGTTACGCCTGATATTGAACCTTGTTTGTGATGATTATGATAATGATGGGATTTTAGCTGCAAGCTAATCAAGCCACTAAAACAAGCTAGTTAAAGAATCGCTCGTCTGGAGGAGGAGGAAGCTCAAGATATTCAAGGCTTAAAACTCAGAGCAACGCTTCACTTCATCTCCAGAAACTGTATTGATATTCAAGTTAAAAGGGTAAATAGGGAACTGAAAAAGGCTTTTACTGAATTTACTTGAATTTGCTATTTCAACTGATTCATTATTATCAATTAACCACAAGTAAAATTAAAATAGTAAAATTTATAAGAAATTGTCGAATTTTTAAAAGAAAAACTGTTCAAGTGAAGTTTCCGATTCTCCGTTCAAATTTCGGTTCTCAACCGATTCACTGATTTCTCGGAAAGTTGAAAATTTCACTCAAAATGATCATGATTTTAGGGGAAAAGGAGATGAATTTTTCAACAATTTTTCAGCTGCAAAAGGAAATGAAACTTTAACTTTTATCTTCCTAGTTGTCTCATTTTCACTTAACATTCAAACGCATCTTCAGTTGGAGTGAAGCAAAATTGGTTAAAATCATGCAAATTATCAATAATATTCATAATGTTATCAACACTTGCTCCTGATACTGAAAATGATAACCTCAAGTAACTCAACATATTACATGTAAATCATGTTAACAAGATTGACCAGTTAAGAGACGATTGTCATCTCAACGTGATTCAATCATCTTGTTTCCAATTGTAAGGTGTAAAGCAATTTAAATCATTTCTAGGATTGTTTCACTGATTATCATCCTTTGCAACTGCTGCTTCTCATAACAATAGATATGGATTACTTGATTATAATTTCAACTTGACGTGAAATTTGATTCGAGAAAATGTAATTACTTAATCTCAATTGTTTTAACCTCAACGGCATAAGAAACCTACTTATTTAAAGGGCATTGATCTCATCATTATCATCATTCTCATCCCTTATAAGGTCTTTAAACTACCTTTCAATTAAAGTACATCTTCTTCATCTTCATAATCCTGATATTCACAGGAGTAACTAAAACACATGCATTAATACAACCGATAGCTTTGAGGTCAATTTCCAATCAAACAAATTAACACAAATTTAAAATCAAACTTGAAAACATCAGTAAATTAAAATTGTAAATACAATCCAAATGCACTTCAAAATACTTCACTTTCATAACTAAACAATAAATTGAAACAAACGACAAATTGATTCCCAACAACAATTAAAAACAAACTTCAAATGTTATAACAATGTAAACAATTTAAAAGCAATCTATAAATCTATACCAATATTTAAAGTCAAACATCAAATTTCGGGTAAAAATTTGTATCAAACTAAAAGGATTCAAGGAAATTTTTACGCAGCTTGAAAGCCACAAAATGGTCTCAGCTTAATCAGAATTCAGGTTAATGAGAAATTCGGTTTTCTCATTGGCGAAGTTCTTTATTAATTTGAGTCTTTTCAATTTATCGTACTGAGTTGACGACATTTGCGATCATCTAGATGAGATAAATTTCAATGTTTAATGTCAACAACATGGATCAACTCTCATGACCCAAATGATTGTTGAGTTTAAATGTGACAATAAAATAAGCTAATAACTTCTATTCCTGGACAATTTAAATGTTAAGAAAAGAAAAGGTAAATTGAAAAGAAACCATTGAAAATGATGTTAAATTGTTGTTACTCTTGCCGTTGATGTTGATAATGATGTTGATCATGTGGATGTTGTCGCAAAGGTTACAATACAACTTTATAAATAGTTAATTATGCACGACAATGAAATAAACTTAATCAACTCTTCTCATCCTTTTACGTTAACAATGAAGTTATTCAAGTTTAACAGCAAAAAGTACGTCTCACTCCGATTGTCACGTTGTGTAACATTTATTATCATCATCATCATCATAAATAATAATAATAATAATAATATTTCTCACCAATTGAAGTTTGATTTTTAAAGTCATTTTTTAGGGTCATCTTCATCATAAAAGGATACAAATTCAATGTAAATTCAATGATTGATGTTAATGAATAATCATTTAGTCAATTAATTGATTCCAAATTGATTTAATGGCCTTTACAAGAAACGAAAATGACATTCAATTCTTAATTGTAACTTTAATGGGCATCTTTTTATTACCAATGATCAACACTTGCAACTTGATTTTAAACATTTTGTTTTCATAGGAGTTTGTAACCTTCAAATGAAACATCTTTTCATGATCATTATCAACATGATTAACATGATTATTACATGATTATGATAGAGAATAGGTCATATCCTCGATCAATGAGAATCCGTGTTAGTTTAACCTTTGATTGACAACAAAATTCAGTTAACAGAAAAATTATATTATTCAGGATCTTTCTGTTTTCTTTTCTTTTTTCAGGTTATTATCATTATAACAGTCTTCAAGATGATGCTAAGATAATATAACAATCAAACAAGCAATTTACCTGTTTAATTATTTTGTCATTTGTAGCCAATTGTTTGCTTGATCCGGTTAATTTCATATTTTCACTTGATATTGTTTCAAATTTCAAAATTCATTCTCAAGATTAGTTAGATTTTCAACTCTCTACCCTGTAAATTATTGATCAATTTTGTCATAAAACACTTTTGTATACAAAGCTACAAAAATTTAGGTTAACTCACTTTACAATCGGTTTTCTGGTTAATGAACAGTCAACAATTGGCTATGATTATCAATCTTATTTTTTACTATTAATAGCAGATCCTTTAACAAAATACTTCAATGAATGAGGTATAATCATGATGAATAAGACTTCTTTTTTCAGATCTTTTATTCAGGACAAGTAAAATTGAAAAGATTTACTTGGTTTTTCAATTAGAAAGTTTAAGATGAGCAAATATAAAGGGTAAATACACTTTTCTTGTTCAATAATTGCTCATTTTACCGGTTTTGTTGGTCAAAAAAAGTGTACCTTTTTTTGCAACCACTATAATCGACCTAAATTTGAATCGGTTAAATATGGCTTCTGACAAAAGATTGAAATAATTAAATTGAAAAGCAAAATAAATTATTGTAAGCAATTCAAGTTAAAGGTTAGGTAAAAGGTAAACTGTTCAATTGGCAAGTTAAATCATTTCAAGATTAAATTGTTTAACCATATCAATTCAGTTGAGAAGCACAATACAATTGAAGGTTCACGTTGACATAGACAATATTAAATCTATGAACCATTAATGATTTTAAACTTCATCGTTTGGTGATTCCTGTTGTAGTCAAAAATTGTAATGATAATTAATGTGTAAAGCTTAGAGTTGATTATGATGATGATGATGATGAAGGTAGAGAAAGAGTTAAAGACGATTACTAAGAAGAAGAAGAAAAAAAAATTTACCTTGAATGGGTCAAAGAAATAGACAAAACCAGAAAAAAAGAGTTCATCAGAGTAAAGCAAAGAAGAGGAAAAAATATAATTGAAAATGATGAGACATTTACTTTACAGTTTCGTGGAAACCTTCAACATTTAATTCTACTATTTCATCATAATCATCATCATCTCCACCTTCATCTTCCTCTTCCTCCTGAGTCTTGAATCACACGAAAAAAAGGTAAGCTTTGGGTCTGATTTAAGCTTTTTTTTGCAACCGTTTTGACTTACTTCTTGGTAGTAATTTTAATTACATAGTTGATCTACAAAATTAAGGAGAGAATGAGAAATGCTGATGAAGGTGATGATGAAAAATCATTGATAATGTTGAAGCTTAAGGTTGTTAAGGTTGACGATGGGGATGATAGAGGCGTTAGGAAGAAGGAAGAAGATTGTAAGTGAAAGAAATACAAGAAATGACCGTTAATTTTGATCAAGATGATGCTACTTTTTATCTGATCATCTTCATAATCATCCTGTGAAGCTACAGGCGATTAATTTCAATGGATTGACTGGTACGTAAGGTGTTTCTGAATCTCAAGAAAAAGTATTTAACTAATCACCATTGATTATTATTAAAACTATTTGTAAAGTGAATGAAAATAAAAACAAAATAGCTTTACATTGATTAAAGCCTGCCTTTAAGCTATAACAGGTAGCTTTGAGTTTTTGGGCAGCTGAGATGTTGATAAATTGTATTATGCCAAGTCTACCAAAAGTCAATTATTCCTGGTTTAACAAGTGTCATTTGCTACTTTCATATTGATTGGTTTAATCAATGAGCTTTAAAAATGACATTTGCACCAATAAAACATTAAATGAATCTTTTTTCTGCTTCTCAATGTAAAATTTTGCACAAATTTTGATTTACTAATGATTTTATGAAGTTATGAGAAAATGACTTCGCTAACAATAAGCTGGTTTTCCTTAGAGTTATTTTGCCACTTTTGTTATCCTTTTTCATCGTTATTATCATCTTATTTGTCTTCCACTAACCTTTCTTTCAACAGATCATCATCATTAACTATCAACATTATTCTCTGCCTTGTATTTCAACTTCAACTTCAACTTCAATTCAAGGTTCATCAAGAAACGGGTTAATGTAATTTTATCCAAGTTGAACAGGAGTTTTAAATGAAAAGCATGGTTATATATATACCAGTAAATATATCAGTATATAAATAACAGCAAATTGTAATAAAAAAATCTTACTCATCAACACAGTGACCTGCAGTTGCAATCCATTGATTGTTGAGTATTGCTCCGCCACACCGATGAGTGCTTGAGAAACCAAAAAACGAGGTTCGACGCACAGATACCTTCAATTGTAATGGTTATCCCATTTTACATGGTTCATCAGGATGAATGGTTAATGAAAGAGAGAAAAGATAAATTAGTAAATGATAAAGTAATGTTTAGTCTTGATGTTGGTAAGTAAAATTGGTTTCAACTAACCTGCCATGGCCAAGCGCCAAAGGCAGCATTTTTACCACCTACAACCTTTGCTTGGTGGGTTAATGTTGGGCTGCCACATTGAACTGTTCATGAGGTGAGGGAAGAGAAAGAAAGAAAAAGAATCAAGATTAATAATCATGTTGTTGGGAAACAATCAAAAATTAGATAATGTGAATAGGAAAACAAAAAAGAAGTAATTTACAAGTTTAAAATTGAAATACATGAGAAACAAAATAAAACAAAATGGAGTGAAAAGCACCAACAGAAGAAGTAACAAAAGCATGTGATTACAATGCAAGTTGGTAGGAAGTGTTGAACAATTGATGAGATGGTTAAATTGTTATGCTTTAAACCATGGTTTAGTTGTTCTCATGTAGATTGAAATTAGGCTTGTATTCAATGTTTACCTTTGGATGGGTCAAGAATATTGTGCTTAGTTGGAGATGATCCTTGGTATGGATATGGTGGTCTTGGCCTGTGGGAATTAAAAGACGAGGAGGAGGAAGAAGGCGATTGGGTTGTTGGTGGTGAGGTTGACGTAGTTGTCGGTGGTGAAGGTGTTGTTGTTACCAACATTATATTGTTGTTAAAAGATGTTAAGGTTGTTGTCGGTGGGCTAGCTGTTGCTGTTGGTGGCGGTGGACGTGAAGTTGTACTGGTTATTATTGGATATTTGGTTCTTGTAGTAAAGAAGTGTTGATAAAAATTAGTTGGACGAACGGGAATCGGTCGTTCAGTGGGCCGAAGGAAAGGTGATGAAGATGATGACCCAGTGGCCGAGGTAGGTCGATTATTAACATTATTAGCATTATTTTGATTATGATGATGATGATTATTATTGTTCCCAAAAACTGAAAAAATTGGCGGACGAAATGTATTTAGAAACGGTTTTGCTGGAGTCGTGTTTATTTGGCCAGGCCATACTTGTGCTATAAATAGAACAAGATTGAAAATAAAATTATAATTAGTCCAATATTAATAATGGTCATCTGATAAAGTGAAAGTTGATGAAAATAAATGAGTGTGTTGATCTTTTTTTGTCCCGCAAATGTATAAGGATATTTCACCTTGACTTTCAATCTTGATCTTTTGCTTTTTCTCTCTCTCTCTTAATCGAGGTCAGGCCAGTCACTTTTTTTCATTATTACCATGTTATAAGGCAGTAATTGGATTCTTACCATGTAAAGGACTAGGAGAAGTATTCCAGGTTTCAAATTGATTCCAAGATGATTCTGGACGAGATGTTGTTGACGGAGATGGAGCTTTGGTCGTTGGAGGAGCTGAGGTTACAGATGAAGATACTCCGTAAACGGATGGCCTAGTTTCACCTAAGAATGATGATGATGATGTCGATGGTGATGATGATGAGGATGCTGAATTAGAAGAAGAGGATAATGATGACTGGGACCATGAAAAGGTTGACGGTTTACTTGTTGGCTTAAGGCTGTGAAATGAATGTGATGAATTTTCGATGGTGTTTGTTGATGAAAATGATGATGATGGTGAACCTGAATTAGTTATAGTAACCGTTGCTGTTGTTGGAAAAGATTCAACAAATGATGAATGTAATGGTGAAACTATGCTCGGTTTATTGTTATTACTTGACGATGATGATGATGATGATGATGATGATGATGGACTGTAACCCAAACTTGATGATGAGATACTGTTGATCACATGATGATGACCGTTATTATTGTTATCAATTGAATTAAACGTATCATTGTGTCCGCAACAAGAGCCGAACAGGAAACCATCAACACAGGTTCCAAGATGTTTACCCTCTGTTTTGATACATTCCCAGACAAACATACAAGTTCCCTCTTCTCCGATTGCATTGCTACACGGTTTTGGGCTGATTTTAAGGGATCCACCTGAATAAATAAATTAATGAGAAAAAAGATAACAATTAATGACAATAAAAATATTAAAACCAGAAAAAAACTGGTTAAAATGGCATTTTGAATTAATTTTAACTGTTGAAAAACTTAACCGGTTAAATTAGTAAGCTTTTTGCTGAATCATTACTCATTTGTTTACATTTTGAAAGACATTTTTTAAGCGCTAATTATGATTTGGTTTTGACAATTGAACAAAAGGATTGAATGGGTTAAATAAATTGTTATTAACTTACCTTTGGATAACTTTGCAATGCAGAGTATAAAAACAAAGATGACAAACAGCCAATTCCGTTGATGGATATCCAAATGGGATGTAAATTTCATTTCATTTCATTAAAAGTGATTTAACTGATTTTTCAAAGGACCTCAAAAATGTCAATGTAAATGACATAATTGGTTATTTGACAGCAAAAAAATAGTAACAATCAGAGGAATGAAGAGAAACCGAAGAAGAAGAATGGAAAGAAGAAGAAAAGGAAATAATAGAAAGAAGAAGAGAAGAGAAAAGGTTAAAGGCAATATTTTTAGAGTTACATATTTTTCAGGTTAAAAAAGCTTTTTGCTTCATCTTGTTCATTCGTTGAGTTTAGTTGAAATGATGTTGATATGAAGACTATTAAACAGGTAAGACTATTGGATGAAACTATTAAGGTGATCAAGTATAAATAACAGATGATGAATACACAACAATAAGGGAAAAAACGGTTTGTTACCTTAACGGTAAAAAGACTTGAGGTAGACTATTAAGATGCTGACTTGACAACATTTTCTCATCTCACCCTCCTTCCCTAAGCCTCCCTACCATCCCCAGTAATCTCCCTCCTCCTCATCATTCTTATCATCATCAACATCATCCTCTTCATCATCTACATCATCTTCATCTCCTTTCTACTTGTCTTTCTTCTTGTGCTTCTTCACCTTCCAGATAAACAAAAAAAAGGTAAGCACTGAAGATCCCTTTTCTTGCCAATCTTTCTCTTTCCTCTGGCTGACCGACTTTACCACCACCATCATCATCATTATCATTATCAGCAACATCCCATTCCAAAAATCCTCTCCTCCCTTCATCTTTATTTGGCCCCTTTCCATTACTTGGTTTCTCAGTTTAAAGGAAACATCAATTTCAGTTGTATTATTTTTACCTGATTGTTTCCCAACTATTAATACATGGGTCAATCAACATTACACCAGTTTTGAATAATTAACGGTCAAATCATTTCTTAATCACTTTACCTCTCAATTTTATTTCATTTCACTATTGACATGCTATTCCTTCATATTTGTAAGCAAAACTTTTCTCTATTCATTTAACATTATTTTTTTGCTCATTCATTTGATTATTGACAGACGTTTTTGACACTTGGTGAAGAATGTAACAATCAAATCTAATGAAATATGATCTTTGATTATTGTCATAATTAATGGCCTTTTAACTGGTTTAAATGAATGAACTGGGCGATTCCCATGCAAACGAAGTAAAATTCAATGTTTACTTCAACTGACAGTCAACTGTAGATGGTCAAAATCAATCATACTCATCAATGATCATTGATCAATCATTAATCTGATAAGAGTGAAAATCAGTGATAATTTGTTTTCAACATCATCAATCATTGATTAACAGTTGCTATTTTTACACTTTTAGGTGGTTAACTGACTAAACCTATCATCTTAACCAAAACAGCTGACCACAATTGTATTATTAATACATTGGTTAATCTCAATTTTTTGGGTCACATTGATTAAGATAACAAGTAAATCAGTTACAGTCAATGTTTAATTTTGGTGTTTTTTGATTTGTTTAAACTGTTAATTAAACGAGGTCAAGTCAACAAGAGTCTTGGCTTGAATTGAATTTATTTCCGGAGTCTAATTTGATCAAATACAATTCAGTTAATTGGGTTAAACTCAATAGCCGGTAACCCAAGTAACATTGACTTTGATTCAAAGCTTTACCATACATAACAAGTGTTTACAGTTGCAATTAAACAAATTTAACCAAATTGATCTTCTCTCTTCCCTTCAAACCTTGTCAAGTTTTGATTGTAAAAAAATAATCAACGATCCAATTAATTGTCAAACTGTTGCCAGGACTGGATGTCAATAAGTTAACCGACAATCAACAAATCAGTGAAATAAATGCATCTTTAATGAAGGTTACCATTGAAAGGTGCAAATCAATGTCTCATCTAACGGGCGACCTGTTAATAGAGTCCGCATCTTTGATTGCAATCATCATAATTGCGATCATAATTGCAATATCATTGAATTATTACATCTAATTTTTTTAAGGAAATTAGAATAGATGCAAGTTTGAAAATCAATATTTTTCAATCGATACATGAAAATATTCCTTTTCTACCGAATAATCTGATTTCTTGCTTGAGTCCGTAAAAAACTTTTGCCAAAAGTTTTTTCTATTTTATTTAATAAATTCGTCAAAATTTTTCGAATGAATCCAAATTTTTGCTCGATTCAGTCTTTTTGAATGCTGATTCTTATATCACTTCTTAGTGAGTCCAAAACTGCCGATTTTGCTAGCGGCGAAATAGGTTGCGAGATTTTCAGCTTTTGTCGTATCTCAATTTCTCTTCGGGTTTTTAACATGAGTTTGGCAAACTATTTTTAAAAAGAGCTCATTTAAGAAAAGACGTTGTATTTAATTACGATGAATTTCATATCAAATTAAAGAACATAGTTTTTTGATTGAAATGCTGAACTATTTGTCTCTCTACAAAATCCCTAACTTGCTGAAATTTGCAAATCTTCCTGATGACTTTACTAACAGGTCGCCCTTTATTTGTTGATACTTGAATGCTACAACTTAAAAACAACTTAAAAATAGTAATTAAGATCAGGTTCATCATTAGTTAAACTATTGATAATTCACTGACAATAAAATTTAAATTGAAATGTCGATCCAAAATGATGCTTTATTGTAACACGATTGGTGCAATCGTCAACTTTGGTACCTTTTTAAAGTTTAACAACATTTTTAACTTGCCTTTTGTACGTGATTGTACTGATTGTTCAAATGGTAATTTAATATGAATTTAGTTTTAAGGATGTTAGTGAAAGTTTTAAGAGAATGACATTTTTATTAAGATTTAAAGGATTGACCTCGATTGTTGATATTGTCAGATGTGTTCAACTTGGATTGGTGTGATTAATGGTTGATAAGACGAAATGAAAGATTCATGGTGAGAGTTGATTCAACTTTGATGGTTGATTGTATTTAGATGAATGAATAGACAAAAGATTATTGAAATGACTGCAATTGTTAATAATTGCATGGACTTTCAAAGATTTGGCAAAATTTCATCATTTTGATTAAAAATTGAACATTCTAACTGAAATTTTGTTACTGCTTTGACTGATTTTGTTTACTTTAATTTTTCCCTTCGCCTTCTTCAACAGACAATCCAGTTACTCTGCAGTTTTCAACCACGTTGATTAGTCCTTATTTATTTGTTTAAGAAACGCATTCGCTTATGTCAATAAAAAGGACTGAGAAAATATGCCAGACCGATTGAGTTTTTAGGGGTTGAACTACTAATTTTGGTTTCTATTGCTGATGCATCATGAGAATAGTTCTCGGAAGATTGGATTTTTCAATTAATTGTTTGTGATATCAACAAGGAATGAATTCAGGAATTAGTAATGATCTTCATCACAACGCTAGAAAGTCAGTCGTTTTTGTGCAAAAGTTACAATGAAGAAAAATAATGATGGTTCTTTATTAATTCAGATGTTTATTGCATGTCCTCAATGAAGATTTTTAAGTAAAATACCTTCAGCATTTTGTTTGTAATCATTTCAATCACCATAGATGATTTACTTAATAATGTAAACCTGGCGGTGCTCAATCCTTGGTAAATCACACCAATACAATCGATGATTTGGTGCATACCAATCGCCAATTTAGACGTTAAATCAAGTCGCTCTGAAACAATAAACGATACTTTGGTCCCGTCCATTCGTGATGAAAAAGCAATCTTAAGAGATTCTCCAGAATCAGCCCAGAACATCAATCTAAACAAAATAGAAACAAAATTTTGATTACAATTTCAGAAACAATTCAATCTTTTTACAAATACAATGTAATCAATCATCCAAGATGGATAAAATCAGCAAAAACTTAACTAACAATAAAGTCTAATCAATATGATTACCCTTTTTGGATTCAACGCCAAAGATTTTGACCTCTCAAATCCACTATATAAAGTTCTCAAATAACGACCAGTTCGACTTGGGTTTGCCTTCAGGTTTAATTCCTGAAAAATTTATGTCCACACAATAAACATCTCTACGGAAAAACAAACAAATTATAAAAATAATTATACATTTATAACCAAATATTTAAACGAGATAAAATAATGATTTGAAATTATTAAATTAAAAATCGAAAGGTATACTTTAAAGTAAAATATTTACCCAGCATTTAGAAAAGCCCGATTTCTTATTGTAGCCCAAAATGCTAAATAAAATTTTAGAAGAAATTTTGATTTGTGAATCCTGTCAATGATCTAAACAATAATCACGATCAAAAAGATCAGGTATAAATGATCTTTTAATGATTTTTTCATATGAGCAATTCCAGTACAGCTTGTCCGATTATAATGAAGTATTTAAAATGAAAAATAAGAAAGACGTGCAAACGCAAAATCCCAAAAAGAAGTAAATTAAATTTGTATTTCGTAAGATTTCCATGCCTTCACCAGTAAATTTGTGAGCTCGGACAACAGCCTTGATATTCCAATCAGTCCAATAGAGCCAATCATCAAATATAGAAAGAGCAAAAACATGAATTACTTCATGCCTTGATTTAACATCGAAATCAGAATAACCAATATAATCCAAGTGAGCATCAGCTCAGAAAATCTTTTCACTGAAGTAATCAATTGCCAATGCATTGGGCCAAACAATTTTTTGATCGTATAAAAGGATTCGAGTGAAATTGGATCCATCCATACCAATTTTACCGATAAAAGCATGGTGACTCCAATCAGTAAAGAAAAGGTAACCAATACCTGGATGAGCAACAACAGCACGAGGATCAACTAATCCTTTACCAAGAATAGTTTTCCTGTGGCGACCATCAAGTTCACTAACATCCAGATGTTTACTAGTTCGATCAAGCCAATATAACTTTTTACCAATCCAACCAACTGCTAATCCTTCGAGGCCGTGAGCTTCATGACGAACGATATTCTCGTCTCCTGAGCCATTTACCATCAGTCGACATGTTTCTAAGGTAGTAACAGTTAGTAAATATAAGCCAAGGTGTGATTCCGTCTCGTCGTTTACAAGATCGTCCATCTCTTTCTCGTTCATAATATTTTTCATTGCATTTACAATAAAATGATCCAGGAGTATTGAAACAGTATTGATTCCATTATCCTTCCTCTTGGCGACATTCATCAATATCTTCACAAGCTTTAGCATCCGCTATCAACTGGTAACCATCATTACATTCACAGTAGAGGCCGGTTGGGGTGTCAACGCATCTATGTTCACATTGATTGGTTTCCACTTTGAAACATTCATCTAGACCACAATGAGCTACAGATGTATTACACAGGTTACGCCAGCACAGATTCGATTGCTTTTATAATTCCAATTCAGGAAAACCATTTTCAAGATCATATTTCCATGTCGTAAAAATACTGAAAAATAGAAAAAAAATTAATTAGTCAACTTGATTGGATAATTTTTGCTTCATTTGAAAATAGTTAAACTTGTTTTAGCAAGAAATTTATCAAATGTGGATGGATTTTCAGCTGGAAAAATATTAGTTTGGCATTCCAATTAAACAAGAAATCATTTTATAAACACTTTTCCAGTTAAACCGGATAAATTGACAATCATAGTTTATAATTGTAATAATTATCAATTCCTTTCTTCAGTAACCATATTTAACTTTCAGGAATATAATAAATGGGTCAACAGTTACTAATAAATTTGTTAAACATTTGATTCTTTATCGTAATAATCACTAAATTCAAATATCCAAAATAAAAAGTGAATTGTCTTCCAGATATTTAATAGTAATGATAATAAAAAAACTTGTTTTCCTTCGATTACTATCACTTGTAGAAGTAAATTGAAATTCAGAGCAAATTAATCTCAAATCAAAGCAAAAATATTTACCTTTGTTATTTTTCTTGCTTCATTCATTATACCAAAACTGCTGAATAAAGAATAGGTTAAGCCATCAACAATATAATCATCGTTATCAAATATTACAACAATTGCCCATAACCAAAAATAAACATTGATTTTGTTTTCAACGGATCAGATCTGTCCTTCAATTTGGCTATGGTTGGAAAACATCGTTCAACTGTTGTTACTGCAAACAATAATGCAAAGGGGAAATTGTAAATACTCAAATGTTTAACTAAAATATGAAAATAACTGACAGTGTGCTTTGACTAGAAAGTGGATTTGAATAATCACGAAATGCAAACATGAATAGATAAACTTCCTGACCAGCGAATGTTCAAAAACTATGAATTTCACTCAGCAGATCGACTCACTATTGGTACAATAGACTCCGATAAGGCATTAGGCGCTGGTGAGTTGGAACCATCTTTAATCAATATTCCGTGAACAAGAAGAAACTCTTTAACCGGTGTGCATGATTTCTGGTTAGGTGCCAACTCATAACCGGTTTCACAGGCACACCTATAACCAAAAGTAAAATCGTCTTGTTGATCTCCTTCAATCCTTGTAAGAACACACATATGTTGACAACCACCATTTCGGGTGCCACATGGATTATCAACATGGATTTGGGTTCAACATTAATACCTTTCTCTCTGTAAATTGTTTCAACAGGTTGACTGGTTGAATTGAAGATATTAACTTTAAGAATACCTTGAAGTGTTGAATCAGTAGATTAAATCTTCGAATAATGTAACCCGTACTGGTGCTGGAACTTTAACAGCAATAACAATATGACGATTGTTACCTTTATAATCAACAATCACAGGCACATCTAATATAAAACTCTATTAATTAAAACTACGTTGGTGGAAGCAAAAGTTACTGACCAAGGTGGAACTAAGGGGTTGTGTGTAAATTGAGTAAAAGATTTGTGATTTTGTTAGTGACTTTTATTTTTTTGCTAATGAATCAACTCAATCCGGTTATACCTGGACCCAAAGACTCAACTGGTCCTCACCTGTATCAAAATGAACCTAACCTAACCTATTTAAATAAACAATAATTACAATTAAATTTAAAGACAAACCCTTTTGCGTCCAAACAAAACACTATTTGCTGCTAGTTGCACTCAAAATGTAAACTTGTCAGACTATTTCAAGACTCCTAATATTTTAACTGAGTTTAATAAAAAGTGCATTAAATGGGTCTTCGAATGTACAACAATTTCATCTAATTCAATTTTCTTTCAACATTCAATTGATATTTCAATTGATTCCATTATAATCATACCAATTTCCTGTAGTACAATAATAACCATCCTCTTTCTTTTCTCTTTGTTTTTCTTTTCCTGCTTGCTGTAAGGTGGATCATTTAGTCTCTTTCCAAAAAAAAGGCTCTGTGAGGCTGCGTCAAACTTTTAGTCAGTTTTTGCTTTGGGTTTCTGTTGAAGTTTCATCAAGTCAAGTTTTCTAGAGTTGAGACAACTTTCAACTCAGCAAACAACATCATCAAATTTTTTTCATGAATTTCTTTTTTTTTGTTCATTTTTTTCATTTACGCATTATATGTTTAATTATATAATTTTAATTTACCTATTTTTCTGTTCCTCATATTTTGTAAAACTATGCACATTTTAATACCGTGGATATTTTTGCTACACCTTTCTACCTGGACTATTCGCCATGTCAACAGTGATTCCACAACCACAAATCAATCGCCGCCATTACTTTCAACATCATCACTACTTTTAACTACTTCAAATAGTAGCATAATAGAACCAAGTAAGTTGCATTGGCTAATTTTTTTACTATCTACATCAATATCCTCATTATCCTCATACCTAGTATCATCATAACTATCCATCATATTATCACATTTATTTACTCAGGTTTTCTTTACTTTTTTTCTTTTACTTTTCCTACTCACTAACTTACTCACTTGTACTTTGCATAGGTATTCCGTGTGATGATCACCTATGGTACTGTTCAAAGGATAAATCATGCTTGAATCAAGACTTACTTTGTGATGGCAAACCTGATTGTTCGGACGAATCTGATGAGAAATCATGTTCGTCTAAGCTTTGTTCGTCGCTGTTTTGTCAATTTGGATGCAATGCCTCTATGGAAGGTGGCGTTTGTCATTGTCCAACCGGGATGACACTTGATCCAAAGGATAATGAAAGTTGTACTGATCTTGATGAATGCAAAGAATGGAGCTATTGTGATCAATTTTGCAGTAACACAGTAGGTAGCTATAATTGCTCTTGTTCTCCAGGATATACTCTTGTAGGATCTCGTCATTGTAAAGCCAATAACTCAACAGAGATGAGAATTCTGTTCGCTCATGCTACATCCATTTATTCTACTGATTCAATGGGATCCAAGCTAGAAATTATTGTTAATACATCTTCAGCAAGTGGTTTGGATTATCATTTTGACAAGAAACTTTTATTCTGGTCGGACACCCAAGACAAAACAATTTACTCAATAAATTTAGATAACCAACGCATAGGAATCAATGCATCATCCTCATCATCTCTGTCATCATCATCGTCAACATCATCATTATCTCCATCATCTTCATCACTTCTATCATCCATTCCATCTATAACTCCATTGGTGAACATATCTGTTTTTTACCAATGGAATCCAGTGTCACTTGCTGTGGACTGGATAACCAATAAAATTTATGTCTGTGATATTTACAATCAAAAAATTGATATTTTCGATTTGGAAGGTAAAACTAGTGCAATTGTTTTAAGTCAAAATATTACCGCTCCATTAGATATTGCCCTTGATCCAACTCAAGGCTACATGTTCTTCACTGATTCGAACAACATTGATCGTGCCTTTATGGACGGTTCCCGCCGTAAAACTATTGTATCTGTGCACATTTACAAAGCTTCTGGATTAACATTGGACTATGTCAATCGTCGTCTCGTTTGGTGTGATTCTCAATTGGATCAGATTGTGATTGTTGATTATGAAGGTAACAATCGTCATACTGTTATTGCTGGTGTGGGGAAAGTTCCAGCACCAGTACGGGTTACATTATTCGAAGATTTAATCTACTGGACTGATTCAACACGTCAAGGTATTCTTAAAGTTAATATCTTCAATTCAACCAGTCAACCTGTTGAAACAATTTACAGAGAAAAAGGTATTAATGTTGAACCCAAAGGAATTGTTAGTTATCATCATTTGAGACAACCAAAAGTGGATAATCCATGTGGCACCCGAAATGGTGGTTGTCAACATATGTGTGTTCTTACAAGGATTGAAGGAGATCAACAAGACGATTTTACTCTTGGTTATAGGTGTGCCTGTGAAACCGGTTATGAGTTGGCACCTAACCAGAAATCATGCACACCGGTTAAAGAGTTTCTTCTTTACTCTCAACAAAAATTTGTTCACGGAATATTGATTAAAGATGGTTCCAACTCACCAGCACCTAATGCCTTTTCCGATGCTATCGTACCAATTGTGAGTCGATCTGCTCGTTTCGTTGGTCTTGATTACTCTTACCAATCTCAGTATATATTTTATTCTGATGTTATTCTTGATGTTATTTATAAAATAAAAGTTGATGGAACTGGTAAAGAGAACGTTCTAGCATCACAGAATGAGGGTGTTGAAGGATTAGCATTGGACTGGGTAACAAATAATTTATATTATATTGACTCTAGGAAAGGAACGTTAAATGTTTTAAGTACCACTAATCCTGCTTACAGACGTACATTGTTAAAAAATTTGAAACGCCCTAGAGCTATTGTTGTCCATCCAAATAAGGGTTATATATTTTTCTCTGAATGGGAACGACCAGCAAATATTTCTCGAGCATACCTTGATGGAACAAATGTAATGGTTTTTCGTGGTGTACTTCTTGGCTGGCCAAATGGTTTATCGATTGATTATCAAAATGATCGTCTTTATTGGTGTGATGCTCTTCTTGATCATATTCAACATGCAAAGCTTGATGGTTCCGATGTTAAAACAATATCTTCACCTCGAATTAAACATCCATTTTCCATTGTTATTCATAATGATTGGCTTTACGTTACTGATTGGAGACTTGATGCTATATTACGGATGAATAAAGTCAATGGTTCTAATGAGATGATTTTTCGAACAGTAGAGGAACACAATCGATTGTATAGCATTAAAATGTTTAGCAAGAGTAATCAAGAGATTAATGCTCGTCATCCATGTTTATCTAATAACGGTAGATGTCAAAAGTTTTGTTTTGGTGTACCTTCAAATACAACTGATTTTGGTTTAGAAGCTAAATGTGGATGTCCTTATGGAGAGAAACCTTCTAATGATGGTTTGAGTTGTATGGCTAATCCAGATACTGAACCACCTGTCCGACCATGCCCTAATAGTTGGGATTTCACTTGCAACAATCAACGTTGTATACCTAAAACATGGGTTTGTGATGGAGATGATGATTGTTTAGATCATTCTGATGAACATCAAAATTGTACTCAATCATCTTGTAGTGTAAAAGAGTTTGCTTGTGCCTCAGGAAGATGTATACCTTTAACCTTTCGTTGTGATGGTGATAATGATTGTGGTGATTTTTCTGATGAACATAATTGTAAGTCTCAGACATTTCGTTTTTCCCATCTTTTTATTGTTGAATCATTATTTTCATTACCGAATAATTTGCGAATAATTTTTCTCACCATTTTATCATTGTTATTCGCTTGCACTCTGAATTTGATACATGAGTTGTCTAATTTCAATACCAATAATTATCATTTTCATTGCTAATTTATTTCATTTTTTATGTTATCAAATTAACATTGAATCTTTAAGCAGTCATGGTATTTGTTGAATGAATGATTTAATGAATGAAAAATTTTGTAACTGGTAACTAAATCTCTTTTTATTTTTTTATATTATCATAGGTCCAAATGTCACTTGTGGTGCTAATGAATTTGCATGTGAAAACAGTCGATGTATTCCATCATCGTGGAAGTGTGACTCGGAAAATGATTGTGGCGATGGTTCAGATGAAGGTGATTCATGTCAAGAGAAAACTTGTGCTTATTATCAATTCACATGTCCTGGTAGATCTCAGTGTATTCCTCAAACTTGGATTTGTGATGGTGATAATGACTGTTTTGATCAAGCAGATGAACAAAATTGTCCATCTGTTACTTGTCTATCCCACCAATTTCAATGTGCTAACGGCAAACAGTGTATCCTTGAATCTTACCATTGTGACGGAGTAGCCGATTGTAATGATGGATCAGATGAGAAAGGTTGCCCTTCATTAGCACCTAATCAATGTGATCCTGAGAAACATTTTAAATGTGAAAATTCAACCTTTTGCTTACCCAAAACATGGTATTGTGATGGTAATTCCGATTGTGAAGATGGTTCTGATGAACCTTCAACCTGTGGTTTAGTTGAATGTCCAGCGAAAGATTTCAAGTGCAATAATTCAAAGTGTATTTTCAAATCATGGATTTGTGATGGTCAAGATGATTGTGGCGATGGTTCTGATGAGGATCATCGACATGCTTGTGGCTCAGCTCCATTTTATTGTCCATCAGGCCAATGGCAGTGTCCTAATGTTACTGAAACATGCATTGATTTGGATAAGGTGTGTGACGGAAAAGATGACTGTCCCAATGGACTTGATGAAGGGCCTGGATGTAAAATTGAATCATGCACCGGCATCAACTGTGCTAATAACTGTACAGTTACTCCATTAGGACCGGTTTGTACTTGTCCACCGGGTGAAATGTTAAATGATACATTAACCTGTGTTGATATTGATGAATGTGCAATACCGGGTAAGTGTTCACAATTTTGTGAAAACAGGAAACAATCATACAAATGTTATTGTGACGCTGGTTATGAATCTGTTCACGGATCAAGTTGTAAAGCACTTAACCGAACATTGGCTTACCTTGTTATATCCAATCGACGATCAATTTTGGTATCAAATTTAAATACCACTTCTTTGGAAAGGATTCCTGTTCGAGTTGAAAATGTTGTGGCTACTGGTTCTGAGATGGCAACTGGAACAATATATTGGTCTGATATGCATGCTAAAAAGATTTTCCGTCTAACCAAAGGTTCGAGTGAAGCTGAGGTGGTTGTCGGTTCAGGATTGGATCTTGTCGAAGGCTTAGCTGTTGATTGGATTGGACGAAATTTATATTGGGTTGATTCAAAGTTGAAAACCATTGAAGTCTCAACATTGGATGGAAAAAATCATGTTATTCTGATTTCACAAAACATCAGTCAACCTCGAGGAATATCACTTGATCCTCGTGAAGGATCCCGTGTCCTTTTCTGGACAGATTGGGGTGACAATCCTCGCCTTGAACGAGCTGGTATGGATGGAAATGAACGTAAAGTCATCATTGATACAAAAATTTACTGGCCAAATGGTTTAACCATAGATATACCTACACGTCGAGTTTATTTCGCTGATTCAAAATTGGATTATATTGATTTCTGTGATTACGATGGTAAAAACAGACAACAGGTTTTAGCTCATAACCATTACCTTTTACATCCACATTCATTAACAGTATTCGAAGATACTCTGTTTTGGACTGATCGACAGTTAAATCGAGTTTTATCTTGCCACAAATATCGAGGTCTCAATCAAACAGTTGTCTCTCACCTAGTTAGTCAACCTTTAGGAATCCATGTAAACCATCCAATCTTGCAACCAAATTCAAGCAATCCTTGTGCCAAGTCACCATGTTCACATTTGTGTTTACTTTCACCTAAACCTGAAGGTTTTACCTGTAAATGCCCACCTGGTTATGCTACAGACAGATCAGCTAATTCTGGTCGATGTATCCCAATTGAAGTTCCTTACTTGATGGTCATGAAAGGTTCCCAAATCGTTGATTTACAATTAAGTGCAAGTGACACAAGTACAACTGGATACTTTACTCCAGTAATTGGAGTCGAGAATGGTTATGATTTTGATTATGATAGGAAAGAAGGATTCATCTATTGGATACAATCTAAAGATGATTCTCGTGAGAACAGTACGATAAATAGAGTTAGTTTGAAAGGTGGAAATCAAACTCGTTTCCTACCTGAAGGTATTTCAAGTTCAATATGTTCACTTGCATTTGACTGGATTGGTCGCAACTTGTATGTTGGTTTCAATAAAAGTTCAAGTATTGCTGTGATCAAAGTTGACGGTGATCAAAATTACCGAAGAATCATTTTAAGCAATGATGGAACACCTAATGGAGTTGGTCGACCAAAAAGTATCGCTCTTGATCCAACATCAGGAGCCATTTATTGGCTTGATGAAGGTGGACCAAATGTGCCAGCAAAAATTGGTAAAGCTAACATGGATGGTACCAATTCAAAAATATTGGTTAAAGACAATCTGTATCACCTAGAAGCTATTACCATCGACATTGCCAATAAGCGTTTATACTTTTCTCAAAGCTCACCTGGAACCATTGAATCAATTGATTTAGAAGGTCAAGATCGCCAAGTTAAATTAACGGCAGCTTCATCAATCGATAAACCTCAAGGTTTAGCTGTTTACAATAATCGATTATATTATCTTGATTCAAACTATGAACGCATTGTTCGAGTTAATTTACCCAGTTGCAATAATTCACATTCATTGGAAGAGAATACTCCTGATTTAAAGAATCTGAAAATTTACGCCAAAAGACCAGGATTGGATAATCATCCTTGTCAAACAGCAAATGGTGGATGTCTTCATCTTTGTATTCCTATTGCTAATAGGCAACATCGCTGTTTGTGTAGTACTGGTTTTAAAAGTTCTGGTGAAACTGGTTGTGAAGTTTACAACTCTTTTGCTGTTGTTTCATCCTTAACAAAACTTCAAGGTTTCAGCTTAGATGATCATTCAGAGGCAATGCAACCCGTTACTGGTTCAGGGCATAATATCCTTCATGTTGATGTTCATGTTGTCAAAAATACTATCTATTGGACAGAGTTTAATCCTGGTGGGTTGAATGGTATATTTTCAATTAAACCAGATGGAACCGATAAGAAGCAAATTATCTCAGATGGTATCGGATCAAATGGAATCAGAGGAATTGCCATTGATTGGATTGCTGGTAACATGTATTTTACCAATGTTTTCCCACATGAAACTTATATTGAAGTTTGCTGGTTGGATGGATCAAATCGAATGGTTATCTTTAAAACTACCACTGATCAACCAAGAGCATTGGCAGTTAATCCAATTAAAAGATACATCTATTGGATTGATTACGGGCCATATCCAAAAATCGAGAGAGCTCTGCTTGATGGAACTAATCGTACTTCTATCGTTTCAAGAGATATTGGTCAACCAAGAGATTTAACCATTGACATGGTCACTCATGATATTTATTGGGTTGATACAAAGTTTGATGCTATTCAGAAAATTTATTTCAAAGGAGGCCGTCGTCAATATATTGTAAAATACATTCCATCACCTTATGGTGTAGCTATTCATGGATCTTTTGTTTACTGGGTCGATCGTAATTTGAGGACCATTTTCAGAGCATCAAAAATTGCTTCACCCAATGGAACCAATACTCAAGAACCAATTAAATCAAACCTTGAAACATTGCGAGACATTGTGATTTATGACAGTAAAAATCAACCAATGGCAGATACACCATGTTCCAGATCTGGTAATTCAGTTTGTGATCAATTGTGTTTTGCTAAGCCTGAAGGATACACACCATCTTGGAGTTGTGCTTGTGCCTCTGGAGTTTTATCTGAAGATGGTAAATCATGTGTCTCTGTCAAAGAGTATCTAGTATTTACCACTAGAAAAGAAATTCGAAGTGTTCATCTTGACCCCAAACAAGGAGGATCTCCTTTCCAACCGCGAGTCAACATGACTAACGTAGTTGGTTTAGATTTTGATTTTAAAGACGATAAACTTCTGTTTACTCAAATAAGACCTGATGGAAGCATTTCATGGATTGATATAAAGAAACCAGATGAGGTTCACACAATACTTAAAAATAACATCAACCCAGAAGGGATCGCATATGATTGGACAAATCGAAAGATTTACTGGACTGACTCAGCAAACCGAAGTATCTATGCAATGAACATGGATGGATCACAGATTGTTATGATTGTTCGTGTTGAAAGACCTCGAGCAATTGTAGTTGATCCTTGTGCAGGTTATCTTTACTATACTGACTGGGGTCGTTTCGGTAATTCTGGTAAAATTTACAGAACCACGATGGCTGGTAACTTTAAGAAAGTAATAATTGGAGCCAATTTAACCCAACCAAGTGGATTAGCAATTGATTACGATGAAGGAAAACTGTATTGGACTGATGCTTTGAGAGAAAAAATCGAACGATCAGATTTGGACGGTAACAACAGAGAAGTACTTAGACAGGCGACAATTTACCCATTTGCCATAACAGTCTATGGAAATTACATTTACTGGACTGATTTACAATTACGAGGAGTTTATCGAGCCGAGAAACATACTGGAGCTAACATGATTGAAATGGTTAAGCGTTTAGAAGAATCACCTCGAGATATTCATGTCTTTTCAACAGATCGACAAAAATGTGGTATAAACCCATGTAACATTAACAACGGTGGATGCACTGATTCTTGTCATCAAGCACCAAATGGTACGGTCGAGTGTCGCTGTAATACTGGTTTTAAGGTTGCCAATGAAGGAAGAATGTGCGTTCCATCCAATGTTACCTGTGATTCAACCAAATATGCCTGTGCCAATGGTAAATGTATACCAAGACTTTGGGCTTGTGATGGTGATGATGACTGTGGAGATAAAACTGATGAAGATAAAAACTTCTGTACATTCCATACCTGTGGACCTAATGAATTTCGCTGTGGAAACGGACGAGTAAGTTTATTCAGGATTACCATTAGTTTCTCTCAATAATTTCAATTATCTCAAGCAACATTGTTTGCGAGTTTGTTTGTTTTACTATCGTATTACTATAGCTTTCAATGTGCAATTAATGTTTTACAATGGCTAAAAATATTTCAGCTAATTGCATAGGAAGCACTTACTCGATCTTTATTACTGTTTTTTAGTATCATCATTATATTAATTGTTAAACAGTTTGAGAAACAAGTAAAGGATTCTCAGTTATAATCTTACTCAAATAATGCAACAGTACAACATTAATCTAGAACTTATATTTTTAACATTTTCTTCACAGTTGAGTTTATTTTCTTTTCTTCAGCTTCTTCTCAAAACTATTCAACCCAGACGTGTTTATCATCTTTTACCAAAAAAGGCATTTCCCAACACTAAGCAACATTAACTGCGCAATAAGTTATGATGTTTTCTTTCTTCTATTAGCTTCATGTGATCATCATATTCTTTATACACAATTGTACGCTTCAAACACAATTTCATGATAATTTAAAATAGTAGTTGACTTTGGTTCCTTTATTTTTTTTCCTATTATTGTCAACAAATTGTAAGCAAGTTTTCCATCAAAAAAACTAGTTCGACTCAGAATAGGTCATTTTTAATAATCATTGTTGATTTTAATGGTTTAAAAGATATTAAGTCTCAACAAACTGATTCTCTTCCTCTATCATGGCTGCAATCATTGAAACAGAAACAAAGACAGTAAAAAATTTTCACCAATATTATTTTTATTCAAAAAGATATTTAATTTGATTGTAAAGTCTTTGAAAAATATGCATTTTACGTCAGGTTTCAACTTTTTTTCATTTATTCATTAATAATTTTCATCAAGCATGTCAGTATCTACAGATTTCCCTTTTCCAACATAGTAATGATGTAAGTTAAGCTTTTTTTCAACCATGGCTTAATTGAATGTGAGATTTGATCTGTAAAAAAATGTTTATACTTTAGTTGCTGTAAATTGTTGCAATATTTGATGGTAATCATGAAAATGATTATTTTATTCTTTCTTCTAGTCTTCATTTAGACAATTTCTTTCAGCTTCATTCAACAGATACTAAATGCAGATAGTGTAAATGAATAAATAAATATATAGGAAATAGCGATTTGTTTAATATCTTATTGGTAATCAACCTGACTAAAATAGTCTTTCATTCTGAGTAATTTAAAAATTAATGCATACAATTAACTGGTTTGTTTTTTTTCCATTTTCTTTAGTGTATATTTAAAACATGGAAATGTGATCATGAAAATGATTGCGGTGATGGAACAGACGAAGAAGATTGTAAATACCCGCCTTGTGCTGATGGTGAATTCACTTGCGCCAATTCTCGATGTATTCCTATGTCTCAAGTTTGTAATGGTGTCAATGACTGTAAAGACAATAAAACGTCAGATGAAAGTTTAGAGCATTGTAAGGGCAATCGAACCTGTCCAGCTGGTCATGTTGCTTGTACAAACACAAATATTTGTGTTGAACCTTATTGGCTTTGTGATGGAGACAATGATTGTGGTGACAATTCAGATGAAAACAAACTAATCTGTTCACAACGAGCTTGTCCACCAAATAGTTTCCGTTGTCCTAATCATCGATGTATTCCAGGAACTTGGCATTGTGATGGAGATGATGATTGTGGAGATAAAGCTGATGAACCTGAAGATTATTGTAAAAGTGATAAAAGAACCTGTTTTGGAGATTTATTCACTTGTGACAATGGAAATTGTATTCCTCGGATTTACCTTTGTGATGGTGACAATGATTGTCTCGATAATTCAGATGAAGATGTTCGCCATCAATGTGATACCCGAACTTGTGATCCAGACCGTGAATTTACTTGTACAGAAAACAAAAACTGGGGTCGACCTCAATGCATTCCTAAACGGTGGATTTGTGACGGAGATCCTGATTGTGTAAATGGAGCTGATGAAAATGTAACCCTACATAACTGCCCACCTCCAGAGCCTTGTGATGCAGATCAATTTCGCTGTAATAATAATCGGTGTATCAATAAAGAATGGGTTTGTGATCATGATAATGATTGTACTGATGGATCTGATGAGCCAAAAAATTGTACTTTCCGAGCCTGCAATCCAGATGAGTTTTCATGCAACAACAATAAATGCATTCGACTTAGTTACTTTTGTGATGGTGAAGATGACTGTGGCGATAATTCCGATGAAACAGGAGAAAAGTGTAAAAAAGAACCGGTTACTTGTGCTCCAGGACAATTTAAGTGTAAAAACGATGCTTGTATTCCAAATGAAAAAGTATGTAACAAACAATTGGATTGTACGGATGGTTCAGATGAACCAGCTCACTGTGGTGTTGATGAATGTCTTAAAGTGGAAACCAATCAATGTGAACATAGATGCGTTGACACCCCAACTGGCTTCTACTGTGAATGTAATGAGGGTTACCAGTTAATGAAGGATGGTAAAGCTTGTGAAGATATTGATGAATGCCATCAAGAAAAAGGAAAATGCAGTCAATACTGTTTCAATACTCCTGGGTCGTTTTATTGTAAATGCAATGAAAAATATTATGAACGAGAAAGAGATGGACGATCTTGTAAACGACGAGACGGAATCACACCTTGGCTTATATTTACTAACCGTTACTACCTGAGAAACATGTCAACTGATGGTAAACTTTACAACTTAATCAAAATGGATTTGAAAAACGTGGTTGCTTTAGATTTCGATTATCAAGAGCAAAGGTTATATTATGCTGATGTTGGTAACAAAACAATCAACAGAATATTCATTAATGGCTCAGGAGACGAGAATATCGTTCGTCATGAAGCTCACGGCCTTGAAGGATTAGCAGTTGATTGGATTGGTAAAAAGTTATATTGGCTTGATCGAACTAGTAAACATCTGGATGTTAGTGAACTTGACGGTCGCCATAGGAAAACTATTCTTGGTAAAGGATTAGTTGATCCTCGTGCTGTTGTTGCTCATCCAGGTATTGGTTACCTTTTCTTTACTGATTGGAGTCACCATGCTTTTATCGGTAAAATTGGTATGGATGGATCCAATTTCACTCGAATCCTTTTATACGATCAAAAAATTGTTTGGCCCAATGCATTGGCAATTGATTACTTCAGTGAAAAGATTTTCTGGGCTGATGCTCACTTGGATTATATTGGTTATTCTGATTTCGATGGTAAATCAAGGCATGAAGTAATTCATGGAGCTTCTGTTCCACATGTTTTTGCTCTTTCTGTATTCGATGATTGGCTCTATTGGACTGATTGGAATATCAAGGCTGTTGTCCGAGCTCACAAATTCACTGGCGAAGGCATGGAAATCTTACGAAATACTTCTCACAGACCTTATGATTTACATATTTATCATCCATTGAAACAATTGCCTTACTCTAATCCTTGTGGAACCGATAATGGAAACTGTTCACATCTTTGTTTAATTGCTCCTGGTTCAACGCCTGACAGTACAACTTATAAATGTGCTTGTCCTGATAATTTCATTCTATCGGCCAACAATAAAACTTGTTTTGCCAACTGTACCAAAGGTCAACATAGATGTGGCCATCCTGATGAAATTTGTGTTCCCATCTTTTGGACTTGTGATGGAGAAAAGGATTGTAAAGATGGATCAGATGAACGCAATTGTCCACTGTTTGTCTGTAAAAAAGGAATGTTCCAATGTAAAAATAATCAAACTTGTGTTTCACGAATTCGAATTTGTGACGGAATTAATGATTGCCCTGATAAGTCTGATGAAAGCTTCTGTGATCATGATTGTGGTGAGCACAGTTTCAAGTGTAAATCCACAGGTCGTTGTGTTCCTGATTCATGGCAATGTGATGGAGATGATGATTGTTCAGATGGATCTGATGAAGCAGCTGAACACTGTCATCATCGTGAATGTGACCCTCAAACCCAATTCCAATGTCGAAACGGAAAATGTATACCAAAACTTTGGTATTGTGATTTTGATGACGATTGTGGTGATGATTCAGATGAGCCAGCTCACATTTGCCGTAATCGTAACTGCACCACAGGCTGGAAAAAATGTCCAACCCGTAACAATTATCGTTGTATTCCCAGTTGGTTATTCTGTGATGGAAAAGATGATTGTCGTGACGGATCAGATGAAAATAATCCCGAATATTGTCCTAAATGTTCTGAAACTGGTGACTTTAAATGTGGAAATGGCCGATGTATTCCATTACGTTGGAGGTGTGACTTTGAAGATGATTGTGGTGATAATTCTGATGAAGATCCGAAAAAGTGTACCGATTTGTACCGAGAATGTTCTGAAAGTGAATTCCAATGTGGAACAAAGAAATGTATTCCATCACGTTGGCGATGTGATCATGATGATGATTGTGAAGATGGCTCAGACGAGAAGGAATGTCAAGATTACAAATGTAAAGAAGATCAATTTAAATGTAAAAGTGGTCATTGTATTTCATCTAAATTGGTTTGTGATGGACACAAAGATTGTCGGGATGTTTCCGATGAAATGAATTGTCCAACTCGTTACCCAGGTGGCCGTTACTGTCCTGCAAATCAATTCCAATGTAATAATACAGTTTGTTTAAGGCAAGACTTCCTTTGTGATGGAGACGATGATTGTGGTGACAATTCAGATGAAGAAGAATCCATTTGTTCAAACTTTACATGTGATGTAACTCGCAAATTCCAGTGCCATAACAACAAATGTATCCCATTGTGGCAAATATGCAATGGTGAAGATGATTGTGGCGATGGATCAGATGAAAATAATCATACATTATGCCGAAAATATCCTGTTCACTGTTTACCTAATCAATATAAATGTGCCAATGATTTATGTATACCTTTAGACAAAACTTGTGACCATCAAGATGATTGTGGAGATTTATCTGATGAACGAGGCTGTCATGAAGGTGAATGTTCACCAATCCATAGAGGTGGTTGTGCTCACAATTGTACCTCTGTGGGTGAAGGTGGATACATTTGCACTTGTCCTCGCGGTTATCGTATTTCTCATAACAACACAAAAGTCTGTGAAGATATTGATGAATGTGCTACTTTTGGTCATAATTGTTCCCAAATTTGTACCAACTTTGAAGGTTCCTATGGATGTTTCTGTAAACCTGGATTTAAAATGTTTGAAGAGAAATGTTCTGCTACAGGTCATCCACCCGTCGTTTTAATTGCCAATGGATTAGATATTCGTGCAGTTGACAATTCACAACAGCATCAATCATCATTAATTGCTGGTGAAAGTCGTATTCAAGCTTTAGATTTTGATCCAATAAAAGGTTAGCTATCACTCAATTAACCTGAAGTTTTATCTTATCAAAAAATCCATTCAATGATGGTTAAGAAATTAATAACATTTTTCCTCTTCTTTACTTTCTATTTCTCTTTGCTTCATTATAATCAGATATGATGTACTGGACTGACTCGTATGAAAAAACCATTAAAAGATCATTTATCCCTGATCCTTTTGATCGTGATCATGGTTTGGGTCATTCACAGAATTTAGAACTAAAAAGTTCTTCTAAACTAAGTGATATTGCTGTTGACTGGATTGCTGGGTAAATAATATTTCAAATCATTATTTTTCTCTCGTTTAAATATTTGATTATAATTATTTTCATAATTTGTTTGTTTTTTCCATTAGAAACATTTACTGGATGGACATAGATTTATCAGGAATTAAACCTAAAGGCAGAATACTTACTAGTCGAACTGATGGTCGTTATCGTAAAACTTTATATAATGGATTGGAAATGCCAACATCTTTGGCATTGGATCCAGAAAAAGGGTAATTATATTCAATAGACTTGATTGTTGATTGGGTTTTATTGACCTTATCCATAATGGATGATTGATTATTTGTAGAAAAGATTTTATTTCTTTTTTATTCCATCCTTATTTTAATCAAATTTTGTTTCTATTTTATTTAGATTGATGTTCTGGGCTGATGCTGGAGCTTCCCCTAAGATTGCTTCATCTTGGATGGACGGTACCAAAGTATCGTTTATCGTCTCTGAGCGTCTTGGTTTACCGGCTGGATTAGCGATTGATTATGAATCAGATCATCGACTTTATTGGTGTGACAGTAAAACTAATACAATCGAATCGTCTAAACAAGATGGATCTGATAGAGTAGTCGTACTGAAAGGTGATTTACAGCACCCTATTAGTATCGATTTGTTTGAAGATCAGATTTATTGGGTAACTAAAGATACTGGCGAGGTTTACAGGCAAGATAAATTTGGTCGTGGTGTTAAAGTTCGAGTAAAGAGAGACTTGGAACACGCAACTGACATAAAAATCTATCAAGAAAAGAAATACAACACTTCAGGTTAGTATTTAGCCAAAGTAGTTAAGATCATCATTCTTTGCATCCTTATTTCGTTTACTTAATTGTTATTTATATCTTTTATTTATACAGTCACTAATCCTTGTAAGCCAACAACTTGTACGCATCTATGCCTTTTAATTCCAAGAGGATATCGGTGTGCATGTCCAGATGGAAGTCCAACCTCATCCAGTTTTACTGGCACTTGTCCTATTGGATTTGAAAGTGCCAAAGCCGAACCATATCGATGCCCCTGTAGAAACGGTGGTTACTGTGATAAAGATGTGGTTACATTATGCAAATGTTTACCTAACTTTGAAGGGGCTCATTGTGAGGCTCGAGTGGATAAATATCCAATCAGCGGAAGCTCAGCGATCTTTGCCAACATTGTTCTTCCTATTTTATTGGTCCTGATAGCCTTAGTATTGGCCTCAGGATTATTCCTATTTTTCAAAAAACGAAACTTGTAAGTTTTTTATTATACAAATTAATCTTGTCATTTCTTGTTATGTTATTTTAGACCAAGGTTTAAAATTTCATAGTTTAATCTCAATTTCATTAAAATTAACTTTTTTTCTCATTTTTTCCTAAACAGCAAACCTGGCTTCAAGAACCAAAGCGTTGCATTCCGTAGTGGAACCAATGTTGAATTTTCAAGTCCTACTTTCATGCATAATGGACCTCATGGTAATACAAATGGGGTAAGTAATTATTTGCTACAGTTTCTAAATGTGTGTCGACTTTATTTCTGTTAAACATTTTTATTAACCATAACCTTTATTTTTAGGAACCTTTGGATAGTGAATTCCATCTTGGAACTATCAAAACAACTGATTTCAGCAACCCAATGTATGAAGCATTGGGTAATGGAGGTGAAGGTGGCCTTTCCTCGAAACAAGCAGCAGAAAACTCTGGTTCAAAGCAAGTTGGACTTTACGAGATTGCCGATGACTTATTAGAGAAAAAGATGCCCCAAGAAGAGCACGTCTATGAAAGTCCACCCTCACTGGGATCAGCAGTTTTATCGCCATCAAGTATAGTCCATCGGTTATCACCACAAGTTCATATAAGACAGACAGCTCTTAATCCAACTTCTGTAGATACTGATAATGATAAGCAACAACTTGTGGAGGAAGACAAATCAGAATGTTAAAGACAAAATTGTGATGGCATAAAATTTTTTGATTCAAAATTTTTTATTATTGTTTTATAGTTACATAAAATGTAGGAGATAATTTTTTTACAATTATAAATAGTTGGATATGTTTCTATTATATTTTGACATAACTGAAAAAACAATCAATGATATCAAGTGAAAAGAGCAAAATGAAACGACAAGAAAAAATGTTTATAAATATTGATGATATTTATTATTATTATATTATTATTATGTCTGTAATATTTAAACTGAAAATCGTCCTATGCCTTGTTAATCAAAAAAAGCAAAGACTTATATCATCAAATGTGATGTGCTTTACCTGGAAAGACTTTTATCCTGATAGATTCGCACCTTTCATGCCCATAAAGGCAAACACTAAATGGATCAGAAAAAAAATCTTCCGTTCAGACCAAGACTGTCATCAACTATGAAACAAAACAACGAACCAAAAACACTCAACAATTGAAGTGTTTACAAAAAATCGGAAAAGACCCATCAACATCATGTTCATATCATTTCAGATTGGATTCCAATCACTCAAATTATTCATCATTCCATCATTTCCACATTCAATTTTCATTCTCATGAAAGGTTAACTAGTATCAATATGGTTCCTTAATGGCGTTTTTCATCTTTTATCCTTCACCCGGTTATTTATTCATCAAGTCGACGTCAATCATTCAATTTTGTTTCCAACAAATCCATCTTTTGCTCGTCAACAAAACCACATAAAACAAATGAAACAACAAATCGTTTCACGCAAACCTAAAATAGAATCTCTTAAAATGTAATTTCATTGTCAACCCATCGCAATTTTGTTTGAAATGGTAAAGTTGACTAATTATAACTCTCATTTGTATTAATAAGCAAAAAACGATTTACATGCTCACGTTGAATATATTTCCAGAGAAAAAAAAGAGAAACTTATGTAAAAAAAATAACTATCATCTTGCAATTTGAATGAACATTGTTCATTTAATTAACAAAATCCCACTACTGTTGATGTAATCAATATCGCAATTTAAAGAAATAATGTCTAATTGCATTCATTGATTCTTTAACCTTTTCAATTAAACTAAAAATCACATCTTGATTAAAATATAAATTGTGATAAAATGTTTTCTATCGTCTTTTAGTTACAAAACTCGAGTAAATTAAATGATGAGCAACATGTTGACATTTCAGCGCAACCATTCGCAATGAAATTGCGTTCCAACAATCGGTTAATATTTACGCATTTACAATAAGTCGTGAAGTATAGCCAAGGTAATAATTAAGACACAGATTCAAATTAAATACATTGTATTATATAAAACAAAATTACTCAAAATTCACTTTAGTAATCAAATCCCAATTTCCAGCTGTAAATGAGTTGAACAATATTTAGTTTATTTTTTGCTCTCAAGATGGCTTTAAAGAGCAAAACATTGGATTTTCATTTCAATTGGTTTATGAAGTTTTTCAATTGAACCATTTAAGTTTTTAATCAACTTTCTTATAGCAGTTAAAAACTGTAACACTTGATTTGTTTATTAAATGAGTGAATGTAAAACTTGTTCAATCTTGAAATCATTGAATGTTGAAGGTAAAGATGAAGATGAAGGTGAAAAAAGTGATGAAAAAAATTGAGTTTATCAAGCTGCTTCAACTTTTCATTATTTATATGATTGATATTGATGAATGTTAATCCAATTAAATTGATTCACAACAATTTGTTTATAACATTTCAAGTTAACATCAACAGTAAACTGAAAGGTTATTGGCCTGAATTGAACAAAATGAACAAGTAAACATACAAAACAAAATCATTTATGGAACGGAAATTTAATGGTTAAAATGTTGATTAAACAATGAGTAAAATTGAAATGTTTACTTTGCCAGTTAAAACTCACGTTGATTACAATTAGCTGTTTCAAATGAGTTCCGAGCAACCAAAGCAAGTTTCATTTTCAGATGAATGTAAAGCTAAAGTCAACCAAAAGAGCATCAAATAAACAGTAAACTAATATTCAAAGTATTATCAACATTAATATCGATAGTCAGTACCTTAATGGTCAGTGGCAACACAGAAACACTATTGATTACTGAGATACTTTAAAGGACAGTTGTGTTATGTTACACGATAAGAGTATAATTAAAGTTGGTAAATGATATGAGACTTGTTGATGAATGAAGAGTCAATTTATACAGTTCCATACTTTGTAATGAAATACATTCAGTAATTAGGTTTGATTGGTCAATTACTATCTTTAACTATTCATTTTTGTTCCTAATTGTCCAAAGCTAAACGAAACTTTACTTCAGATTGTATTTCTGATTATCTTGGATAAGCCCAATTTTACTGATTATTATCGTTCTTTAGTCAGTCTTATCGGATTCAATCCTTTGAAACTAAAAGGTCAATGGTGAGATTTTCAGGGTTAGCATGTTGACTTCATGATGAGATTAGATCTTTGAGATTTCAATCTTGATCTTAAGCCTAATGTTCATGTTTAACAGTTAAATATGTTTTCCTTTAAAATTCTTGCCATTAGAAAGTAACTTGAAAAATTCGCTCTTTTCCTCTTTTATTGAAATATTGTGTGAGATTTAAGTCTGGTTATTTTGTATAAATATTTGCCTTTTAAAGTTTATAAATCTCAGATTCAAGAAGCTTCAAGTTTCTGGAATATCGATGATCTTTTTTCTCATTTTCGATTGAAATGTCTCTTTATAATGAAATAGATCTTGAGTGGCTCAGTAGGAAAGGACACCTTCATGAATACAACTACCTATGGTGACCATGAACTAACTTTTCCTCCCTGTGGCGATGATTGGCCAATACCGACGGAATTTTGGTAAAGTATCTTATTAGACCTTTTTTCATGTGGAAATGAGAAGAATCATTTTTTTGAAGTATCTCGAGAATACATGTTGATCCAACTATTTTTCAAGTCATTTTCATAATTAACATCAAAAACTAAAGGTAAACATGCATAAAAACCTGTTCCTTACAAGCATCTTGCTAATCTTAATCCACAAACTCAATGTCTCATACTGAATACGACAAAATCTTATTAGAAAGTTATATATCATAATCAATTGCATTCAGTCTTTAAGACAATCAACTGTCTATGGAAATCTTTAAAGAAATCCATAAATTATTGAAAGCATTGGACGTGGAAAGATGAAGAGAAAGAAAAAAAGTTGTAACTCAATCTGTTTTCTAGAAAAGAGAGATTCGTCGGAAAATGCCATTCACTTGAGCACAAAATATTTCTAAATTGTTCGTCGATCAATTCATAATGAACATTGAAATTTCCTCCTGGATCGTCCTTCATCGATAGACTGCGGATAATTGAAACAAATATTGAAATTTTACTTGTCTTGTAAGGCAACGAAATCAGCAAATCTTTTTAAAGTTTCCATGTTTCCATTTCCTTTCTCAACCCTGTAACCCTAAATGATAAAAAAAATGAAGGTTAGTCAAGTACTTTTGATAAAATCAAATGTTTGGATAGAATATAAAATTTTTAAAAATCCAACTGAAACTAAAACAATACGAAATGTTGATTAAGTTGTGATTTTTACCTTACAATTAGACATTGCTTCAACTTTTACACTCTCAATTGCTGGCAATCATTTGTATGTTTTTGCGAAATTTGCTTGGAAATGAAATTCACACATTTCTCATCATTATTGATGAAGATTTTGTTTCTGATAAATCAGTTACAATTGAAATTATAAAGTTATTACAATGAAGTAATTGTAATAATTTGTTTTGCCATCTTAAAGCTTCCCTTTAATGTAATGTTGTTTAGTGGTTCTTGATTTGTGATTGAATTTGAATTTGTTAAACATTTACTCAAGTGTATGTTAATAATGTGATTGGGTTAAATCGAGTTTCTGTATTGTAATTGATTTAACTTAATCTTCTTTCTCAATACAACCTTTGATCATCTGTTTGGCTGGCTTGAAAAGGTTAGGTTAACCTAATTGTTAATGATCGGGAAACGCACGATAAAATCAATCACAATTATCAACATGAATTGCAGTTAATCAGTAACAAAATATCGGCCATCATTCAATCAATTAACTGTTTGGTTTTCATCTTTATACTAATTTTTTTATATTGTCAACTCAACCTTATTGGAGAGACTGAAAATCAATTTAAAAAAATCATTTCAACTGACAACTTCAATGTGAACAATCAACTGCTCTTCCTTGATTGTGTGATGATTTTTACTGACTAAACAATCAAATTGACATAATCAGGGTAAGAGTCTTATGGATTGTCAAAATGAAACAAATTATAAAAGCAGCTGATGAAAAAAGTCCAAAATTGACTGATGAAGCAAATAATTAGACTTAGGACAAGGACAGGAACAAGGAAGCGTTAATTGTTAATTTAAACAAGAGTAAACGATTTTTAACCCTAATTGTCTTGCTTCAGGTTAATCAAAAACAAAGATTTGATAATATTTTAACAAACTCATATGATCATCAATTGTCACATATTTAATGTAAACCAAAATCAAATCTAGATCAACTTCAGCATAAAAAAGTCTAATCTCTTCCTTATTACCCTTACATTGTTATTAAATTATCAATATTTTTATCAGAATTGTGTTGCCCTTATAAACCTAAATACATTGTTATTAGGCTTACAATGTTGGTAAATTGCTTTAAATGTCACTTCAATGATTGTCAATTGGAGGTTCATTGTGAGGTGAAACTGGAACATCATTTAAATCAAATTGAGAGTTAATCAGTTTGGTTCATGGAAAGTTGAACAATCAATTTAATTTTATGTTTTGTTTCACCACCAATTGCATTAATTTTAGCCTGCAAATTAATCTATTTAATATTGAAGACAAGGAATAAGATGATCAACTTCATCTAATCACAATTTCCTTTCTTACGCTCTTTGATTCTCTTCATTATCATCATTTTTTCTCTTTTTCTTCTCAGGCCATTGAACTCACACGGAACCCATATTTATCGTTTGTATTTTACCTGTAAATATCGTTTGTTTTGCTTCTTTTTACCATCAACATTACACAAAGCGGAAGAAGATGAGAGAAAGAGAGAAAAAATGAAGATGATTATGGTTAGGATGAAAAAAGTGAATGCAAGAGAAACTGTGAAATGAAACTATCAAGGTAAAGATAAATGATTTATCTTTTAGTTAAGCTGAAAAGATTTGAAAAACCGTTCATCTTGAACCATCTGTATCATGTTCACTTTCATCATCACCATGAAAACTTTAACCGTTGGTTACAGATCTGTGAATCTCTCAACTTGCTGTTTTCCGTCAATAGACCAAATAATCAGGGGAAAGCCTTTTATCTGTATAAAGATGAAATAGAAAATGAAAATTAATTTTTCTTTCAACATTCCACAATTTTTATGTCAAAGAAATGATTTCTTTTCAAAAATTTGAATCAATTTGTTCACAGCAATGAATACCTGATCAAATCAATCCAATGGGTTGAAGATTCAAATAACAGGCAAAATGATCAAAAAAAGATATTCCAAATGATAAAGAATCCAAACTTGATGCATTTCACGCAAATCATGATGAAGTTTAGCTTCTGTAAAAAATCAAAATAAAAGAGTTTAAATCAGAAAGTAAGAAATTGTGAAAGATAATCAAAAATTGATTTGCAAGTCAAAGAATAGAAAAATGTTTTCACTTGAATAGATATAATCAAATGATAATCATGATCATCAGATTAGCAAACGTTTGATCAACTTATCATCAGATAGGTAAACACCTGAAGAGCTAAATGTATCAATGTAACTTCATGTTGTCACAACAATATGATTTAACCTTTCAAACTAAGGATTGTAAGTGAAAATTATTTTGAAATGAAAAAAAGGAGGGTTGAACAATCTGGATAATACAGAAGTACAGTAAACTAATGCGCTAAAAGCAGACGAAACCAAATTATTTTGTCTTACCTGTTTGAGTTTCATTCAACATCTGATCACTTGCAATTCTGATTGATTGTACAATTGGTTAAATTGTAAAATTCAAATGTTTCATGAGATATTGGCATGAAAATAGAAGCAGCAAAAATCAAAAGAAACCATCATAAATGAAATGAAATTTCATCTTCCATTGAACCAGATAAACTTGAACTTTTCATTACCAACTTGAATCGTTTCTCTCGTCCAAACTGTAAGACGAAAAGAAAAAAATATTAGATTTTGAAATAAATGTGAAAATTAACCGGATATCCTGATTGTTGATTCAAAGTTGGAATCATGAATAAAGTACGGAATGAATGAGTTGAGCATTAATTGATGGCAAATTGATTTACAAAAAGGTTTTTGTTCAATTTGTCATTAACTTGACAATAGACGAGCGTTCAAATTTCATTCAACACTTATTCATGGTCTGCATGGTTCCATTTGATTCAAACACAATCGTACAATTGGAAGCAATTAAATAATTATGTGACATCAACTGCAAAGACCAAAATCAGTGTCACCTTTACAATTTCCTTAAATCTTGTTGTATAACCTAAATTGTCTTCTGTTGATAATTTATAACGGGTTGAATAAAGTTGATCTTTTGAATTTGCCAGTTTTTTTTACCATCCATTTCAAATGTTTTTGTAGTTTTGTGCATTTATGGTTCACCAAATTGTTATAAATAACCTTAAGTTGAGCAGTTACCCTGTAAAAAAAAGAAGGAAACGAAAAAAATCAGTTCTGTTTTATTTATTCTGATACCTTTAAATTAGTTGAACTTGTGATCCCTTTTTTGTTTGTTTTGTTTAACCCAATCTGGTGAACTTGATGGACTCATGAAGAGTTATCATGTAACAAACTGTAAGAGATGAAAATTGAATAGAAAACGAGTTTCTCTGTTAAAAATATCTGTTTATCTAATAATTTTCATCTTCACTACTACCATGATGGTGCTTTGAATTATCATTTTGCATGTTGATGTTTATTAATGATTTTGGGACGAGAGAAAGAGAGAGAAAAAAGAAAGAAAAAAGGAAAAAATAGAAAATTGAATTTCTCAATTTCAATCAACTCAGCAAAACCTCTTTCCTCAATATTACTGATTTCTCATAGTAAAAACATTATTACCATTATTATTATCATCAATTCTGCCTGTTATTAATCATAATCGTGATATAATTTTTGAAATTAAGAATTGTTTGTTTCTCTCTACTCCTCTTGTTGTTTATTTACTTACATTTGGTGATCAATTGAATCAATCATGATGTTGATGATAGCGATGTTGGTTGCAAGTAAGCGCCGAGATCATTGTTTTTTATTGGATTGGCCACAACATTTTGATACTTTAATCAATCAAACGGAAGAAATTAATTAATGATAACGAGAAGTTGATTAGTAAGTGAAAATGTAATCAAAAGAATAAGACAATGAAGTAAATACTAGTTTGGATAAAGTAAAATAATGGATCATGTCTAACAACAGTGTTGATACCATTTTTAACTCAATGCCTTCAACCCTAATTGCTTAATTAATCTTTCTTAATCTCATCACATAGCCGTTGACAATAATATCCGTATATAGTGATATATAATGATATATTGTCAAAATTAATTTATTAATGATACTCAGCATTGTAATTAATGGTTGTCACACTGGTCAAACGGATGGTTATCATTCAGTTTGCTCGTACACTAATAACCATCTCTAGTCAATTGTATCATTAATTTCTCTATTTCATTAAAATATATAAAACAGTACTTACAAGACAAACAGAAGAAACCATAACATCGTAATTAAATTGTGGTTAACTAGTTGATAGTTTGATTGTAATCTTTAATGTCTTTTAGAGCCAAAAATTAGAGCCAAAAACAAGAATTAAAATTTCAATTAGGGATTGGATCGTTTGAGTACTTTTAAGATCCAAGCTTGATCAGATCTCTGGGTTCGATTAATCAATTAGCATATCGATATCCTTTATTGTTTTTGAAACAAAGCTGACAATTTTGAGCCAATTTTTAACCTTAAATAATTGAATAATTCAATCAACTCGTTAATGTAAAATAGATGTTAAATTTAATGGATTTTATGTTTCAGTACATTAATTACAGTTTTATTGAAATTTGTCGTGTTGTCATTTAAATTAATTGACGAATTTATCTCTTAAGCTTCTGGTAAGTTGATCGTAATTTTCAATCCTATTTTTAACCCCTTAAACTCAACTAATCTTACTTACTAATATGTTTTCAATCTGCCATGAATATTTTTTAGTTGAATTTGGACAACTTAATGGCATTATGATGAACGGGTTATTGGTATTTGAATTTGGATCTTGAATCACTTGTGTTGATGTCGATTGTAGCTACAGTTATAACAAATGAAACTGCGATGCTTTTGAACAATGAAAAAAGGACAAGTAACTGTGTATTAGACACTTTTACAGGTCAACAATTAGTTGCTTTAAACCATCAAATTGAATGAAAAAAAGAGACATTATTTCACGCTTTTTTGACTTGAAATTGTTTCATCTTTTTGTCCTTTTTGAACTCAAACAAAATGATGAAATTACTACTTTTTGTTTCCATCTTTTGCTTTCATTTCAAGGTTTGAAAAATTTTTGAATCTTTTGTTTGTTTCCATCAGTTCAACTGATCATCATGATTAATATAATCTCTTCAAAGCTTTCATTGATTCATCAATACTTGCTTTTTTTAATAGTTGAATTGAGAGTTATTTGCCATCAACCTTTTCTTTCAATCTTTTACTATTTCACTCAAAATTTTTCTCATCTTCTCAACTTTTTATACTTCCCATGACTTGACATTGAACTTTATCAGATAATAAAAACCGATTTTTTTGAAAAGACAAGATGAGATTTCTGAGTATTGGATAAATCCTTCCAATTGTAACCCCATTCATTCAAAAATACCCTTAAAATGATACCTGAAAAAGTTGACTAATAAATATTTATTTTCTCTTTTCTATTAGAATCAAATTTTGGTAAAGAAGTCCATTAAGAAATCAAGATTTATCAAAATTGTCAGGATTGACCCAGGAAAAGAAGAGATTGGCGAAATCTAAAAGACTCTGACAAGAAATAATCTCAATGTTTACCTTTTCGAGTTGAATTCTGTCGGATTAACCTCAAACAAAAGGACTTGATATGGTTTCAATGATGGACAATATTTATGATCCTTTGTCTTTTAATCTGGCAAATCTTGTTTCTCATTTCGGCTCAACCTGTTCATTTTTGTTAACCTTCACCTCATCCATCGCTGATTTAATGTCCAAACTATCTTCTCTAGGTAACCAACAGATCTGACCAGCTCTCACAGACCTACAAGAGCAACCTAATTGTATTCAAACACTGTGATATAAGGGGAACAGTTTATCAAGCTCATCAATACCTAAACTATGTTCATTTATGAGATTCAAGGTTGATTGTGATAGGCCAATATACGAAGATACAGATGACAACAACATAGCAACAAAGAAATGAATACTTCAACCAATTAAGCTCAACATAGCAATGAACTTTAGAAGAATCCTTTTTTTCAACATTTCAATTGTTTCCATTGATGGTAAATTGACTATTAATATTAGAAGTAATACAAAGCAAACTCAATTAGTTATCCCATCAATAATCAAATTCAATTGTAACTCTAATTAGAGAAGCTCAATTTAGCTTAAGTTCCTTTCATCAAATCAACACATAAATCACTTTTGATGTAAATTAGTTGATCACTTGTAAGTTAAAAGACAAAGCAACGCCAGCATCGAACAAAAAAACGCTCTTTTGAATAATTGAAACAATTAAGGATAATTATTATTGACAAGAATCACAAGGACAATTTATGTGAAGCAAAAATGTATTTGATGTGAAAACAAGTATTGCCATTAAACAGAAGAAAAAAAAAGTTTAAAAAATGCATGAAAATGCAAGCAATTTGAAACTGAATCATGGCAGGATAGTTAGGATGATGATGAGAGACAATTAAGTCATTTAGCAAGCTGTTAATGAGAGGTAATATAACCAACAACAATTGATTACATGATAATATGTTTAAAAATGTAATACATAACAATCATTTCCAAAGTGAACCTGTATTCATTTGCTAACCAACATTACTGTCTTTTTCTGGCTCTCACTAAATTGTCCATTTATCATGTATAAATATAGTTAACTGTTCAAACTACTCAATCGGTTGAATCTTTTCAACTCATTCTTTATACAATTGTTACCCATTTCAATCCATTTTCAACTCTTTTTTCCCCATTTATTTTAAAGTAAAAACTATTTTCTTTCTTATGAATTTTCCCGGGTTAATCGGTGCATTGACTGATTCACACCTCATGAGACTTTTTCCAGTTCTGTTTCATTTTCAGTGTTGCTACATGAAAACCACTTTTGCACCTCAAAATCATCTACTAATTGTAACCATTAACCGATGGAAATGCTCAATGAAAGTCAAGACTCTCAGTCTTCAACAGAAAGGTCGAAACATGGACAATGATTCAACTGAATGTCAATTATTGGACATCTTTTGATTATCGAGTAATAAGTGTTTATCGATGAAAAAGTCTGTAGGTCAAACCTTGACTCGCTTTCATCTTTGCTTGGTTTGTTTCATTTGCAACTTTAATAATGATAATAATGGTGATAATTTGATAGATTGACAGAGATTTAAAATGACAGGAGAAGCAAAGTTAATGTTGAAAGAAAAAAATTGAGATGAAAATTGGGTCAACTTGATATCAATAGTATAAATAACAGTTTAACTTACTTTTGACTTCTTCTTATTTCTTGTGATTCCCTTTTTTAATACTATCCAAATAATAAATTACAATTTTCAAGTTTAATTGCAGTTAACGGTTTTTTATAATATTAAATGTCTATTTATGCTATTTACAATTTACTTGCTAATAATTGGGTTTGTCAGTTAAAGATGAGATTAAGAGATGCTACAAATCAAGATGACCCTTTTTCAACAGTTGATTAAAATTGATTAATCAGAAAAGGTAATAACTGGTGAAACTGATGATCAGGTTGATGAGAAGACAAAAGATTGATTCAAAAAATAATTCATTTTCCATTTTGTTTGCCATTCAATTTTCACCAAGTTCAAGTTCAAGTTCAGAAGTCAATTTGTATTGTTTACTGTCCATTGTATAATCTGGTATAAAATGGCATATCATCTTTATTCAGGTAAAGAGGTAAGTAGTTGGGATGAAGCCGGTTTATCAGATTTCGTGTATTTATACACATCTAAATGACATTCAAGATGAAGTAAAATATATTTGCTTTTTTCTGTTGATAGAAAAAAAATGATTTCTTTTTGAGGTTAAATTCAATGATTGTACTTAAATAGCATTTGTGACATTTAAATTGGGTTTAAAATGGCAACAATGATATTTGAAAGCGATATTTCATTTCCAACCAGAAATTTGTCCTCAAAAGCTGGAAATGAAGTTTTATTGAAAAAAAAGTCGATCAAAGACACAAAAAGTCAAATGTCATAAAACAAGTGCTTATATTCAATCAGAATCAGTAAAAAATTCAACTCACCAGTTTACCTTGAATATGGATTTGAGACAATTTTCAATACAATAAAGTGTCAATTAGTATTGACCCTTTCCTGACCAAACCATCAATTTTGGTGAATCTTTTTTGTCTAAAACCAAAACATTTACAGCCATTGATTATGAACCCATTGCAGACCCAAACCTTGTAATAAACTGTCAAGTAATTATTGGGTTCATTTGCATTAGAGGAGAGTCTTGCTAGATTGGTTCAGGTCTATTTGGTATTCCAAGTCCATAAATATATCTTATGCTTTAAGCCGAGTTTATGCTTTCAATTTTCAAGGAAATGAACCGAAATCGACATTTTGGGCAATCGAGAAAATTGAATCTGGTAAATGGACGAGAATGACAGAGATCGGAGTAGACTTGGAAAGGAAAAGGAATTTTTGAACATTTGAAGTTCGTCAAATGCTTAAACTTGAAGCAGTTTAGATGCTTGCAAGTGATTTGTTTACCGTTCAAAAGTGATAATCGAATGAATGATTCTCCAATCAAGATATCAATTTAGTGATTTAATTCTGCTGTTGAGCGATGATTGCACAAATAATCATGAACTTGAAAGGAAAGCGCATATTTACATTGGCACCCTGAAAGCACCATAATTATTGAAAAGTGAAAAGTTGAATTCAATTCACTCTTTCCTTGCTCATTTCACTGAAATTACTGCTCATTATTATCATAATTATCATTATCTTCATCTTCATTTGAAGCGCCAATTGTAACTTTTCAGTTTTGACTAGAAACCATCTTATTTTTTCTTCCTCTCATCATCATAATCATCATTTACCTTTGCATTCTTTACCTGCTCTTCGAGGCTTCCCAGTGCCTCCAACGACTCCTCGGGCTACTCAAGTGAAAACTCAACCCAAACATTAACTGTTCAAGTCTATGAAGTTAACTCAACTAAACTGGTTTTGTTTTTCGTTTTGTTTTTTCTTTGCCATTCTCTGGTCAAAGTTGACCTTGTTACTTAAGGAGGAGGTCAATCGCAGTTTCATCTTGTTGTTTACAATCATTTGTAATTCAAATGCTTCCAAAGCAGATCAAAACATTGAAAACAAAAGCTTAAAAATCGCTGTTTTTATCTTTGCTTTTCGCACCTTACATTCAGTTATATCCATTGAACTCTAAGCCTATTGTTACATTGATACAACAATTAATGTTGCAAATTGACTATTGAATGGACAAATGACAATCAAGTCCTGAATGAAATGAATAGTTTTTACGTTCAACTGATTTCATTTCTTTACATTTTCATCAAAACTCTATTTCAACCTTGATTCAATGAAATATTGATTGTAATCAATGTTCAAATCATGATTTTAAACACTTTTGCAATCTTGAGGTTTCTTAGTCGTGTTGATCAGTTTGGTTCTTGAAAGAGAAACCAAATAGAATGAAAATTTTCATGATTTTCAATCAATTGTAGTATAATCATGATATCAGTTGATTATTATTGAAACATCAAGTAGCAGTTTTGATGAAAATAATCATTTTTAATATTTTATAGCCAAAAATGGTTAGAAAATTGAAAAAGATGGTTTGATAGAGAATGAAAGATTGATTCGATTCTGTGGTTGATGTTCAATGGTTTACAATGTTTGATTTCATCTCATTTTTTTCTCTAATCGTCATTTAAATAATGTTAATGAGATGTGATGATGATGGAGGGAAGAGAAGAGAAAGTGATGAAGAAAGAGAAAAAAGAAAGAGTCAAGATAAGTGATGATAATTATGATGATAAAGAGGGAGCGAGTGAAGAGTGGAAGGCTGCCAAACCTGTTAAGTTGGAAAACTGAAATCATTTTCACTGTAAAACTTGGTAGAGTCACTTTGCTTTAGTGAAGAGAAACATTTTCCTTTTCGCTATTTTCTTTCGCTTTTCGACCTTTTAGTCCATTCTGATTATTTAACTCAGTTAATCACAACAATAAACCATCGGATTTTCCAATTATATAACCTGGACAGCATGTTTAAATCTGCAATCAATTTGGATTTCTTTTTTCTCTAAAGGTAATAACACGTAAAGTGTTCTTCACTCATTTTCCCTCTGTTTTCTTAATTTTTTTCCAACACATGTTTTCTCACCTTTCTCTGTCTCTCATTACCTTGTATCTTGTTAATTGTGGTCAACAATTATAATTTTAATTGTCGTTATTTTGGTCATCTTTACCATTCTGGATTGTCATAAATTGACTCTGGATCTTGTGCTTTATTTTACTGTTACTCTTGTGAGACATTTTCTGGTGTTTCTCTTGCCCTACCTTTAATGTCTTTGGGTCATTTTTTTGCTCTCTATTCATTGCAACTCACTGTTAAACTGTCTCAATTGGATTAGTTTTTGGATTAATTGGATTTGATTAAAGTAGCTCAACATGTTATTAACCAGAAAAGATTAACAAGGAAATTTAGTGTTACGTTTTCACGCTTCTTTAATCTGGTTTATTTATGTATGTGTTTAAGTGATCAGCTTTTTTTTGGTTCAGTTTCTTGTTCTTTCCCTGGTTTGCTGCTTTTCGCCTTCAATTTTGTTGAACAGTTTTGTTTTCTCGATAAAACTTGCAAAGTGGAAAAGTAAACGAGAAAAAAAGATAAAAATTGTTAAACATGAAAGTATTAAAAAATGAAAACAAAATGAACTTTGCTTACTCCAATCACAATTATCGATGAGAGTAGAAGAGGGAAAAAATTTTCATCATGACAACAATAACAGCAACAAATTTACCAATCAATTTTACTTGTAATAGTAAATTTTCACCAATTTGCTGTTGATCAACTGTTCATTGTGATTTTTTGCTCGTCTAATCGTCGATTGTGTGTTGCTTGTTTACCTATTTATGTTACCTTTTATCATTCATCTCTTATTGATAATTATTGTTCATTTGTATTATTATTAGATGTGGGACGATGAGAAGCACATTTTGGCGGCAGTTACATCACAATTAAGACCAACTTGGATGGAAGCCATTAAAACATCATCTTCTTCTTCCTCATCTTCTGCTTCATCTTCATCATCTTCATCATCCTCACTAATATCTTCATCTCAACGGAACAATATTAATTCCTTATCAAGTCGAATCAATCGAAGCTCACCGTCAATCAATTTAACTGTTAATTCAGGTAACTAAAGTTGATCAAATTAAACATATAAGGAGATCAGCCAATAAATGATTGGTTGGTGCTTTTATTCCTCAAAGTGATTCAAAAAGGATAACTCAATATTTTTTCTGAAAACCATGTTTTACTGTTTACTTCATCTAATAGAAGTTATGTTTGATCAAAAAATTAATGTAATCATTTAAACAAGATTACGTTGATTTGTTTTCGTTGCTGTTCAGTTATCAAGTTAATTTGTTACATCAGCCTCATTTTTTAATAAGGTGTCTCAATGAATCTCAACCTTAATCCCTCTAATTCAATTTCATTTCACCATTAGCATAAAATCATTAATTGCTTACCATTAATCTAGATAACTCAAAAATTGAATCAAACCCAAATTAACTGAACAGCGTTTCAAGAAACCTTTTGGTTTATTCAAAAAAAAGTGATACACTCAACACATGTTGACTGTTTTTGCTTCATGTTGTGAGCAATTTTGACAATTCAAGATATTCCGATGTCTCTATTAAAATAAAATGGATAATTAGAAAAGAATTGTTACAGTTGAAGATCTTTCAACCGCGTTCTTCTTCTGGTTTAATGTTTGCAAGATTTTTGGGTAATTTTTGGTTCTAGAGCTTGATTCTAGAGCCTCAATGTCTTGAACTTTTTGCAACAAACTAGATGACTAAAGAGTTAAATCTGTAGACTAAAATCCGGGAAACAAAAAATCCAGAGATAAGAATCTTTATTTTATCATATGATGACAAGGGTTAACAAAGCACATGAACTAACTCTGTCTGCCAAAAAGGTTAAGTCTTTTAACTGACTGTTTGTTCAGGCTTAGACTTGTTATAAGCTAATTATTGAGATAAAGAAGCTGTTCAATTGAAAAGTGACTAACTTTGTCAAAATCGTTGAAACAACAGTCAGTTAATTCTGGAAATGTAACCAATAAGAGAGAAGTGTCGAAAAGAGAGAGTTTGCTTATTTTTTAGAAAATCCAGATTTTAAATCAATTTCGCTCAACTTCTTTTACCATCAACACAATTTTTTATTCATTTTTCTAACTTTCTATTCTTTTTAACACTTGTTAATTCTTGTTGATCAATTTCAGATGATGATGATTATGCTATTCTTCCACCGTCACCACCAATAAATCGGACTCCATATTCAAGGCTCAAAGGAAAAGCTCGTTCAAGGTATTTACCAAATTCCCATGTATACGGACGGACTAATTATATCTTTGATTGTTACTTCCAGATCAAGCTCAAGAGCTCGTATTACCTTGGATACAACATCAGATGGACCAACATCAATGATTCAAGAACGGCAACCAGCAAATCATCATTACAATTATCACTCTGGTCGAGATTTTTCAAGCTTTGATTGTTACCAAATTGACAATAGTCGTAAAATGGTTAGTGCTGAACTTGACTCAACGCAATTGATTAAAGGTGAAAGAAACGTTCAAATTTTTGTTTAAAAGTGATTTCATCAGATTAGCTCAACCACAATGTGTAATAAAAAATTCAACGGTTCTTTCACTTTTTAATCGATTGTGCTTTGGTCATAAACATTTTTGATAATCAAACATTTAGTGTTGAACAAAACAGTCGTCAGTCAACAAAAAAGTGAAGTTTTTTGGTGAAAACTTCCATCTTTCTCTTCACTTTTAATTTACATTAAATTAAGACAATTATTTTATTGTGAAACGGTCAATTAGTTATCTTAATTAGTTGCCAAGCACAATCAAAAAATAACATAATTGTCATTTAATGTTATAAATACTCATTTCCCTTCAAGTTGACAGTTTCACTTTTTACTTTATTTTCACTCTTTCTGGTTAAACTGAATTAATTTTAACAATTTATAGCCGATAATCAGCAAAATTAACTTTTAATATTGATTACAATTATTATTTCATCCAAAAATAACCCAATTTTGCTTTGGGACAATTGTAACTAGTTAAATTGTGGTAACCAATTATCAGTAAACTTACTCGTATCATTCAGCTGTTTAAAGCAAAATTAAGTTAAATTAAAGCAACCTTGATGCTATTATATTTGCAGGAGTAATGATACAGTTGTTAAATTGTTGATTTAATTGATATTAATTTGAATGTCAATGAGCAGCCCAACCAATTTAACCCGGAAAAAACACAATATTTAATCAACTCTTTAGATTTGAATTAATGAAGACAAAAATTGTTTTCCAATTTTTGGTTAAATGAGGAAAGGAAAAGAGTCTGAAGCTTTTTTGGTGAGAAAATTTTGTCCTTATTTTCATTTTATTTTACTCTTTATTCATTTATTTATTTCATTTCAAATGTCAAATGAGATCAAATTGAATCGCTGTCTTCGCTGTTGGCCATGCTGAAGATGATAATGATAATAAAAGGAAAGGTAATGAGATTGATTTTGTAGCAATAATAATAGATGAAGTTTCAGTAGCACTGACGATGCATTCACCTTACCACCACCATCACCATCATGATAAAGATGATATAAGAGCCAGATATATCAATGAGCAGATACTAAAAGCAAGGTATAACTTAATTTTCGATGCTGTATAATAGCCTGAGGAAAGTTGATTAACTGAAATAGTAATTGACAGTGTAATGGCCCAGTAACAAAAAATGGAGAGATAAATAAAGTAACCGGGTCAAGTACAACTATCCCTTTCACTTGAGTCGCCATTCATTGGGCTTGATGAGGCTTCCAGGCTTTATTCATCTCTTTTCATCTCAACGTTCATCACTCATCATGATGACCTAAAGTATATATTTTCTTCTTCTTTCTGACTTACTAAATGATTGACATAAACTTGACTCCAACTCTGGTCAGACCAGAATCTTTTTTCTCATTTTTTTCCAATCATCATTATCTTTATCAGATTTGGCGGAATCATCTTTATCACAAAATGTAACTTTTTGTATTTTCATCTCACAGAATCGAAGAGAAAATACAATTCAAATTAGATTAACTTACCGCTTCAAGGTTTAAACACATAACAATTACCATTGATTTACAACATTTAGTGTAGGTTTTAATATCCCAATATTAATCTATTAATATGTCAGGTTCAACTTGATTCATTAACCTTTTACCATTAGACGTTCATTAAAAATACAAATCAACACCTAAAATTGGCGTTAATTGTTCCAAGAAACAATTGCGTCAACTGGGCAAGACGCATAAAGGGTCATCTAAAAATCAACTAATCCTAATGATAACTCATAGTCACTCTAAATCATAAAATTGGTTAAGATGCGAAAAAAATGCTTACTTATGAGATTCAGTTAACCAAATAAACAAGCCATTAGTTTACATGGTATTTGTCATGATACATGTATTATCCTGATAAATATAACTCATGTTCATCTTTCCTCTACAATCATAAACTTGAGCTAACTAAACATTACCTAAATAAAGCAACTGTTTAAGCAATTACATATTAATAATAACCAATTTATTATCACATTACTGCAGCTTCATCGTTACTTGGTTCAATGAAAATCTCAGCCAATAAAAACACAAAAACTCATTGAATTTGAAACAAAGTTTTATCTTCCTTAAAGTCAATGTTTACTTCTTATATCATTGTCACTGATTATGTTGAATATGAAGACGACAATTATGGAATCTTTATATCCTTCATCTTTCTTCCTCATCGTCACCATGTCGATGATGGCTTCTATTTAAGTCTCCATTCGTTTCACATCGCTGTACTTTCTCATCTTCATCTCAACATTTCTCTTCCTCCGCAAAAAAACATTGAAGGAAGAAGAGAGATGAAGAGATGTCAAAGATACTCTGAGTTAGTGATTTGTTGTATTAAGTTGCTTGCTTTTTGTTTCATTCAAGTGCAATGATCTCAACATTTTAACGGTGAACTCACGTATCATGAATATGAGATTATTGATACTGTCACCTTGTTTTATTTTGTTCAAACTGAAAGTCATTCAGTTGATGTTTCCACTTCTCTTTCATTAACATCATCATCAGCATCATTATTGTGGGTACCTGGGTTTACCTTATATTCAATAATTCAGTGTAGGGAAACTAAACACTAATAATAATTTGAGTGAAACAATTGACTTAACTTAATTTCACTATTGTTTCCCTAAAATCGCGCAAACATTTTTCACCATTTCATTTTTTGCTGCAGTCATTTTGTTTACCTTTAATGAAAACACTTTTACACTTTGTATTGGTTTACTTTGAACACACACATTTGAATGTTAATTAGTTGATTAAAATTGAAATCACAATCAACAATTATAACACATTAACACCTAAAGTAAATGCCAATTTCAACGTTCCTCTCAAACTTGTACAAATGTTTAACAATTGAACAATTAACCTTTTTGTTAACCTTCTTCTTACCCAAATCCTCTAATTGATTTAATCTTGTTTAATCTAATGATACTCACCAACTATTATTATCAATTATTAACAATTTATTAATTTATGTTCACTATTTTAATTGAAATCACAGTTGATTGTGGAAAAAGGTTTTGCATTCAAAAGGTTAACCTTTTTCCTTTTACTGTTGCTTTTCATTTTCAAGTTTCCCTCAACAATTTTAGTTGATTAAATTTTTGCTTCATTGAAGATGATCACAATTAACTGTCAATTGTTAATGTTTCCTGTCTCACCAAATTGTTAGACAATTTAATTGAAGAATCAACTATTCAATTAGAAGATGAACCATCACATGAATCTTCCTCTTTCCAACCATTATCGTCGTCATTATTATCATCATTCCAATCGTCATTTTAATCGTCATTAAGTCATAATCATTAAAAGTAATGGTATTGATTGATTTTGGTCGACAATAACAATCACGCTTTCTGCGCTAATAGTTCAAGTTAGTCCAAGGCAAGAATGACTTTTCTTGACCTCAAATGTTATGAAAACTGTCTTGAGCTGGTTCCTCTCCTTCCCTTAATTTTGTTTATTACATTTGGTCCAAACTCACGATAAATGTTTCCTTTCTCATAAAAACACTCGAAAAAGGCGAAAATGTTGAAATTTTGTGTAAAACAATCATTTGACTTGCAAAACCTTGTCCTCACCGAGCATCATAATGTTATTAATGTTGATTTTTACGCATTTCCAGGTCAAAAATTTTGTTAACTTTCCATTAATACATTACAAGTTGACTACATTAGCATTAAGCAACTCGGTCCATCTACTGAAACCAGCAGAAAATGTTGATCATGATGAATAAATATGAATGATGATAAATAATTCCATGAACTTTCATTCTCTTTAATCGCCTGATATTATCATAAATGCGTTTTGTTTGCTTTTTGTCCCCAAAATTATTGATGGTTATTAGCTGTAAACAGAAATGACTTCATTCTGTTATCATTCATTATCAACAATAATCGGCTCAATAGTGAATCAACATTTAGCTTCTGAAATCCATTAAGCCAAGCTTTACACTCAAGGTTCATGTGAGAGTTGATTTTGGCATGTTAATGATCAACTCCAGATTATGATCATTGATCTTCCAACGATAACTTCAGACTTTAAATTTTCTTTATTTCCTTTTTCCTGTTTATTTTTCTTTCCTCTGTTGACTTTCATGAGCCTTGTTGACTTTTCAGCCAATCTCATTTCAACCACAATTAACACTATTCAAGGTTCACATTTTAAACACGATTGATTGTTCAACATGCAATCGGTACATTAATTCAATTGATCATTAACTAATTTTCCAATTTATAATTACAGGTTAATCGAAATGGCTCAGATGCCAGTAATGGACGAGAGAGTAACGTTATTCGGAAAAATCGTGAAAACATTTATGAAATTTTAACATCGAAAAAGTTCATGGACACTCAAAAGACAATTGGTTCATGTAATATTGGACAAAAAGAAGAAAACAATTACCTTAAACAACAACAACAACAACATCACCAGAAAAAGTCCCAATTAAATAGGCATGATCTTGATGATATTATCATTGATCCAGATAATTTAACAAATGACGCTTTACTTGAAAGAGAATGGAATAAATTAGTTAATGGAACTTGTGGATCAATAGTTCGACCTATTACACCCAATGGCAAAAAATTAAACCAACCATCAACAATAAGATTACCATCATCATCATCATCATCATTATCAACTGCAATAACGACAACAACGACAACAGCAATTCCAACAGTCAAAGTTAAGGCATCCAATGAAGTCAACCATTTGGCTTGTGATGATTATTTTGATAAAACGAAACGAGAAAAGGAAATTGAAACAAACAAAGCCAAAATAATCAACATTATTAATAACATGAACAATCATATTAACCATAACAACAACAATTATCACAATAATAACAATATTAATGGTGATGATAAGTCAAGTATTCCTGGAACACGGTTTAAAGAGATTTTAAAATTGTATGAAAATCTTGGTAAATCAATGTTGGACTCTGAGGATAAACCAATTAACCGGAAAGACCAAGAGCTTAAGGTTAACGGCGGAATTAATAATTGTGCCGATGATGTTAATAATCACTTAAAGTCAACTATATTACAATTGGATTCTGTGTGCCAAAATCGTCTAAAGGGAATCGAAGAGTGTCAACGTAAAATTGAAGAGCTTCGGAAAGAGTTGAGGACAAAAGAAGATTTGAACAAGAGCTTACAAGCCGAAACTGATTCATTGGCTGGTCAATTGGAGGAAGCACGAGAAGGCTGGAAGAGCGAAAAAGAGAAGCGAATCAAAGAGGAAGAACAGTTCAAAAGGATTACTAGTAAATTGTATGCTCGATTGGATGAATTAAACAGGGAATTGCAAGAATCTCACATAAATTATGATTACCTTGAAATGGCGTACAACCGTTTAAAGGTTGACGTTCAAGGGTTACAAGAGACTCATTCAGCTGAGATTAATTTAATGAAGGACCGTCTCAATGATTTAACAAATAAATTAGTTATTTCTGAAAAGTCACTTAAGAATGCCAAAAGCCATATCGGTAAATTGGAAGCTCGCCGTGATTCCAGGCGTCGAGGTTCATCTTTACGAAGTTCAAGAGGCTCAAGTGAAGGTGTCAATGGGTTAAAAGACGACACCAACAATTGTATTCCCAAAGATTTTCAGCACAAATTACAGGAATTGGAGGTTAAAATTGCTCGAATTCAAGGAATCTTGTTGGCAAATGAACATCAGTCTCCTGATGAAGGGTTACCTGATATTGAAACACACAGTTTTCCTGGTTCTCTTAATGATCACAAAAAAATTCTTGAGCTTTCAAACCCAATCAATCACAAATTACCAACCATTTTAACAGCAACCTCATCACCAACATCTTTGCCCATGAAAGTAGAAAAGGCTTCCTTATCATCTACACCATCATCTCAAATCAATTCAAGTCAAACAATTCAATCGAATGAAAATAATCTTATTACAACTCGTTAACTATTCACCAATAAATTGGTACCAATTAATAGGTGTGAAAAAAGCAAATTATTTTAAATCTGTTTTCATTGTTTGACTTTTTAAACTTACCTCTAAAATTGTTTGTTTCATCTAATCAATTCTTTTTGTACAATCTTTTTTTCTTTTCTCTTTTTTAAATAGTCTTTTTATATTTGTAAATTGTATCGACAAGTCGTATATAAAAGGATAAATCAAAGCAATAATAGACAATTAATTATATTTGTGATTAACTTTCTTGCCTTACAAAAAACGACTAAACAAAACAAATTTGGTTTGTCCACTAATTATAATGCATTATCAATGTGTAAATAAAGCTAATAATTATCCTTTTCTAATCGATTGCTAATTTTAATCACAATCGTATTATTAAGAATCAAATGAGTGTCATAAAAATCAGATTATTCAAAAATCAAAACTTTTCCTTTTTCCATCTACCTAAATAGTAACAAAACCAAACACTAGATGGCTCTGTAGCTTGAAAAGTGAATTTGATTTTACCTGAAAATTTTCATTTTACAATTACAATTGGGATTCAGTTTTAATTTTTTGAATTGCAACTGACTTGCAAGGGAACAGTTTATTTAACGAATTGAATAATTGATCATCAGAAGGTAGGAATAGTTGAACATTACGAAGTCATACATTTAGGGAAAATAATTGTGACTATTAATAAATGAGCTCAATATTGTAAAATTTTATTCCTTTGATTTTTCCTATTTCATTGTAATTTACTTGTTAAAACCCATAAACAATAAGAAATGTTGAGCGACTTTTATGATATGAAACAAAAACATTTGAAATCAATGAAGTAAATGACTCAACGGTTGATTAACTCATTGATTTTACAATTAAGATTTCAAGATAACCTGCTTTTCTCACTTCATTCATAAATGCAATAAAAATAAAAGTCAGTTGAAAATATATTTGGAGCAAGTATTGAATGAAATGAAAGGTCCAGTAAAAACAAAAGTAAAAGGTAAACAAAGGTTCAATAATGAAAGTAAAAGGTTGCGATCTTTAATTGTCCCATTTGACCATTTGGGCGATAATTTTTTCCATAATCAATTTAAAAGTTATAAAACATCAACCAAGTACAATGGTAAGCCAAGATATTATCAACTCTTTAAGAATCATTATTTTCAGTAACTCTTTTAAATCATTGCAATTATTGTTAAAGACTATTATTTTGAAGATTAAACAACTTGATCATCAATCAAAAGCAAGTCAAGTTTGATTGTTTCCAAAAGATCTGATTGTACCATAATTCATGAACTTGACCAACCTTACAGAATAACTCTTTTTGATTCACTCAACTTAGTTATTAATCTATTAGAGCTTTTTTCAGTGAAATCTTAGTTTTGTCCAATCTTCATGAGTCTGGCCACAAGCCATGAATATTTTATCATAACAGTGCCACCATTGAATTAGCTGACAATTGGATCTTTAATGTGCAAGAAATCCCAACTTTCGATTGTCAATATTCTTGTCAATTACCATCTGAGTTAATATTAAAATGATCATCGTTTAATGTGATAGGATATGATATCATGAGATGCTACATTGAAGCCATTCTCGCCAATCACTTGACTTATCATCAGGCTTTCAACTTGTGAGTCTGGTTAAGCCACAAGCTATGAATATTTCAACCTAACAGTGTCACTCTATCCCATTAAATTTGTTTATAATTCGAGCCTTTTGTTCGTAAAATCTGGGTTAGATCAACGTCTGTTTGGCAAGACAATAGAATAATTTTGATCCATTTGAGTTTTTATATGCAAAAAAAAGTCTGAACCTTCATCAACATTTCCACGAGTGTGGTTAGACCACAAGACATTAATATTTTAACCTGAGTTACATTTGACTGGACCAAAAGTGGCATCAAGTTGAAGGGCTTTTTTTACACACAAAAACACGACATTCTCTTCATCGGTATCTTCATCTTTATCTTCACTTTATCTTATTCATTTCCAACTCTCTGATTCGATGGTATTTGAAATTCAATCAAGGTTAACATTAAGGTTTTGGTTTCACATCATTAATCTGGAAGCAACTTTGATTGTCAAGTTAATGGTCAGTCAATGATTATTTTATTGAACACTAAACCATGTTCAGGTGAGAATAAATAACTGCTTAGATTATTCTTTGCCTATTGATTAACTACTGAATTGATTGAATTTAGAAGAGTTAACCAGCAAGAATTGACTGGATCAGTATGAGATATCAGAATGACCAGAAATGAACAACTTGAAATCGTTTTTTCTCTCTGCCTTTCCTTTGTTGATCAGCTTCGTCTACCTTTGTAATCTAATAGCAAGTAATCAGTTTGCAAATTGCATCTCAACTACGTGAGTCTTGAATGTTATAGTTTAATCTGGTTTAGTCTTGAGCGAAGAAATGAGATGAAAGAAAAGTTAATAAACCTTTGAGTTTCACTTTCACTCTTTACACCATCAATTTCATGTAACATGGTAACAATGATAGTCTGGAGTAAAGTAATGGCAAGTGTTGAACCCTTTGAATAATAAAGATACGATGATTAATTGATGAGAAATTAAAAAGTGAAAAGATTTGAAAGGAAAAAATGATTGATGGAATTGGCTGTTTGATAAAAACTTCAATGGCAATGCTCGCTTGTACCATGAAAGACGCGACCAACTTTGACAATTGTCTCACCATGAAAAAGAATACTGAATGATATCAGTTGCAAGTTAATGAGTTATTAAACACGAGAATCAGAGATTGGTTAATATTTAATGAGAAGTTGAAATTTGTAGAGAAATTGAGAGAAAAAGAAGTAAAAAGAAGAAAAAGTTGATTAATTTGTTCTGAACTTTTGGACTATTATTGGTTTCGACTATCGTGACATTCAGTGTGAGAAGTTGAACAATCGAAATTTTATCCACTTTCAATGATCAAAGGATTGATCCAAGTTAAATGAGCAACTTGAATGGTTTTCATTAAAAAAGATTTGATCATTTTGTTGAATAATTGACTTGCTTTTTTGTATCAATTTTTGGGTTAGTAATCATTGCCATGAATCATCAAATCAGATTTCAGTTCATTTTTATCAACAATAACACGAAGTTAACTTGCATTTGTAAAGAGTAAACTATTAATGACAAGCAAGATTAATTACCTTTGCCTTGTCATGAAATGTATGAATTTCATGGTAATAGCTTTTCCCAATGCGTTTCATTTGAAAACATTGTCATAACTCCAAATTAGCCCCAATTTTTCAATTAGATAATTAATGTTTCTCTTTGCTCAAAGAATTGACCTGTTTATTGTTGGCATCAATTCACGAACTTATTAATTTAGAGCTTCAGTTTTGTAAATTTTTCAGCTTTACTTTGATTTAAAATGAAATCATTGAAGATATTAACGTTGTTAGTAAAATGCACAAGCATTGTGAGGTTAGTTTAAACTCATCAATCGATCAAGTTTTGGCTTTAATTTCACTCGATTTTCAATGTAAATATTTAAATGAAGTTTAATCCTGATTCATTGGCAACTTCATGCTCTTACTACGCATTTCAAGTCCGAAACTGCAGGTTTTTTCATGTTAATTAACAGCTTTATCTTCATCAATAACTTACTCGAGGTGAGAAAAGTGAGAAAATTAACTGGAATTTGAGTTGATCGATATGAAGTCTTTAATTTTATGAGCAAAACTAGCTTATACTACAAAGCTACTCATCTAATATGTAAGATGTTAAACCTTAACTTCGCGAACTGGAGGTGTATCACCTTGTGGGTCGAGTAGAGGCAATTTGAAAATGGATGTCTATTGCACTGCCACAAGATGATACAAGTAAGTAAATTATATGAATGTCTTGCTGAAATTTATGAACCATTCGATGTCGAGTTTGGAACGCAAAACGCCATAATTTATATCAGACGCATATTTAATAGCATAACTAGCTTGTTCGCTTGATGGGTCGATAACGCTTCTGGCTATTCGCGAACGAGTATTAAATAATAACTGTCGAAATAAGCAACGTGTTCATCAATAATCAGTCAAACGAGCCACTTTTCATTTGAATATATAATTTAAACTTGAACATCTAAATTTATTGTTATTGATCATCTGTAATTGTGATTAAACGAAATAAAAAATTAAACTTTTTTCTCACACAAATCGTTAACCTTTGAAATTAACCTGAAAAGTTAACCTGTTAACAGACAATTGAAGTAAATTTAAACAAACGAATTCAAGTAATTCATGAAACAAAAAGCAAAACCAATCAATAATCGAACAAGTTTTGCCATTGCTTGATCCCAGGCCTGACAATTACCGGTGATTATTGGATCGAATCGCTGTCAATACTTGATGAGTTTAATGTCAATATTACTCCATTAAGAAACAAACTTATGACCTGATCAACACTTGAACACTTGCAATTGTTAATCTGATGTTTCCAGTAGTCACCAAGTAACCAGTCAAAAAAGTAATCAAGGAGAGAGTAAATCACATGAAAAAAGGTGAAAATAAATTAAAACAAAAGTAACCCGTTTACTGTAACCTTTACAACCAAATTATTGAGGTTTCTAATGCGAAGCGAAAAAATGACTTCAACTCGACTTCAACTCGACGTTCATATTTACCTTGACAATGATTTCCATCAAAAATGATAATAATGACAATTTTTCCTTGATAAACCTCTTTGCCCTAAACCTTTATCTTGATCACCTGATCAACCCAATTGAACCAAGAATCAACTTGAAAGTAACAATCATTTTTTGGGTTTCTTTTTTTCTCTCTCTTCTAACCAACAAGTTACTCAATTTAATTATCATTACCAAGTTACCAGTTTTGATTGAAAAAGCACCAGTCTTTTGGTGACCCTGTTAACCTTGAAACCGTGTGACCTCAAGGGACAAGACCAATGTAAGGCTAAAGATGTTACAACAGTTTAAACGCTCAGTTGAGATTCAAAAGCTGGTTAAATGGGTGAATCCATTGACACAGTTTCAGGGTTACGCTGCGATTTTTTTGTCAACTTTTGTTGCTTCTTTTTTCTCATTTGTTGACAAATTAGACCGTTTTCATGTACATTAATGTGTCCACTTTGTCAACTGGATCCAACTTAATGATGATGTCATTTTTCATCACCTTAACAAAATCTTGAAATTGTTTTGTGAAAATCAAGATGAATAAATAAAAGATGAAAAGAAATGTGAAATAATGATTTTGTTTACAGTTTTGCATCCTTTATGCCTTTTCAATGTAAATTGCTTTCATAATTGCCTCTTGCTTGGCTGATTTCAACAGCGGATTCATTCAGATTACCATGTAATAATAGTTGTTTTAATGTTGAACTCGGGAAAAATTTGAGTTACGTTGACTTGTAACCAAATGATAAACAAGAAACCAAATTGTCTTGAGAAATGGAAACGCTTTCATGAACTGTTGTTTATGATATCATGTTGAACTGATATCCTCTTCTCCCACCTCAATCTCTAGTCAGTGGGAGAGAAAGAGAAAGAGAAAGAGGGAGGCAAAGTGTGTAACAGTGTGTTACAATCGGCACGCAAATGTTTCCACTCTAATCATGGCAGTGAGTAGACCGTAAAGCTTAATCAACATCATCTACCAACAACAACACCAACCAAACCGAAATATCAACAGTCAAATGAAACTTTTTTTGTCCTTCACTCAGTTTGCACTTTTTGTCTTAAACCAAAACTTTTACATTGACCATCAAATAGACTAACTGTTAAGGGTGCAAATCGACAAATCGCAGCTTCAATTTCAAATATTTGTAAACATTTGCAATGCCAACATGTAACTGTGATAAGTGAAAGTTTGAAAAAGTGTTTTTTGAAATGTAAAAGTTGAAATTATGAGTCTATTTTTACTAAGCAGTACCAATGGACATCGTTAGATTTATATTTATTCATTATCGACACATCGATTTGAATGATTGTGTTGAGTGAAGTGAAATTAACAATTGACATCCATTTGGATTTACAAAACTAAAAAGTTCAAAAAATCGGAATAATTCGCTTTGTGTCAATTTTGTGTGTTAACCCATTGTCTTGCCAATCAATCATCATTATAAACATCATCAGAGTTGGCATCGAAATGGTGATCATCTGACATGATATGACACCATATTAACCTTTCAACCTAACAGAGCCACTTACAGCCATCAAACTATCTCACAATTAGCGTCTCTTACATGTTACTCAATCAAACCCTCAAAATTCCTGGAAATCTGGTTAAGCCGTAAGCTATGAATATTTCAACCTAAAAGTGTCACTCTTCCCGATTAAATTTACTTACCATTTGGGTCTTTTATCCGTAAAAAAAGTCTCATCTTTACTCAACATCTATGTGACTTTGGCTAGACCATAAGTCATGAATATTTCATTCTAAGCAAGTCTAACCTTTACCCATCAAATGTAATCTCAGTGAGACCCTTCCATACGCAACATTTGTCACAGCTTGAAACAAAAAACTTTCATCTAAAGCTTCACCAAGAAAATCATTAATCAAGATGAATCTTGCCTCATCTTGGGACCATTTCCTTTTAATTTTGGGCAATCCTGGTCGCTATCAGATTTTGATTGCATTTTTACTCTGTTTTCTTCAAATACCTTGTACTCTTGTCTCTTCCCTATGGAAATTTTACTCATCCAGTCCTCCCCATCGGTGTTTCATTCCTCCCGCTCTGCGCTCCGGTGGACTCAGTGCCAATGAATGGATACCTCAGGTTACCGATCCTTTTGGTGGAACAATGTATTCCTCATGTGAAATGTACCTTGATCCATACAACACGAAAAAGGGTACAACTCAGTGTCTACATGGGTACGAGTACAAACCCTTTTTAGGTGAACAACACAACATAATCATGGAATGGAATCTAGTTTGTTCATCCAAAGAGTTACCTCTTTTAATCTACTATTCATTCAATTTAGCAACCATTGCCGGAGCCATTGGATTATCATTGATCGCCGATAAATTCGGACGTCGACCAATCTTATTGTTAACTTTTTATTTATTTGTTCCCATTGTTTTCATAATTCATTTTGTTCAAGACTTTCAACTTTTCACCATTCTATTTTCACTGCAAGCATTTTTCACCTCGGTAAGTTTACCTTACATTAATGTAATCAATATAAATTGCTGTTAATCCATCAAATCATTTGCAAATCATTAGCTAATCACGGAAGGTTCAATTGAGCTCAGTTTTATTTACTTAAACAGTCTTTTGTACTTTTATTTTGTTTGTTTGTCGTTAATTCAATTATTTCAATTTACTTTGAATCTTTTGAAATCCAAATTTCTCTTCATTGTTCATAATTTCATCTTTTGATGATTGAATCATTCACTTTTTGTTCATGATAATTGTGGCCAAAACAATGAGCTAGACTTGCTTCCTTGAAACAAATATCATGAAAAATTTTTCAAGACTTTATTTCCAACCAAATGCATTCTTTCCTTTTCCCACTCAAAGTTGATTTTGTGATTTTTTTCGGACTCTTTTCTGAATCTCTATTGTTCAGTTTACATGCATTCACAAACATTTTCATGATAATTTTAGATATTATTCCAAAACTTTTCTTTCTTCCTTTTTCTCTTCTTACCCTGGTTCATACAATGATAATTGAATTGGTCTAATTTGTTTTGCTTTCTTTTCTTTTTCTTTTCCCCATTCATGCTCGATTTACCTCTCAGGGTGTCCAAATCTGTTCATATGTTTTGCTCATTGAAATGATGCCAAAAATGTACCAATTTAAAGCTTCCCTCATGACTGGAGTTGCCATTGTCACCGGCTACATGATTCTGCCCATGATTGTTTGGGGAATTGAGTCTTGGAGATATGTTCAGCTAGCTGTTTCCGTTCCCGGAATTGTTCTTATCGGAAGTATTTGGTAAGACAACTTTACTTTCAATCCTTGTAAATTATCCTGATAACCAATGACAAAAAGTAAAACCTGAAACTACCAATCCAACAATCAATGCCTATTCGGGCATTCATCATTTCAACCAACCAATCAATTCGAATAGTTTTCGCGTTTTCACTAAATAAGAAGTTTAGATGATTTAGATATGAAAATATAGTAAGACTGGGATTCAATAAAGAAATGAAAAACTCTTGGTTTTATAAGCAAAAATTAGCTGCAAGAACAGTAAAATAAAGTCTCTTAAAAGTAACAATAGATGGCAGCAGAGTAGAATAAAAAATAATTTTTTGTCTTTTTTTAAGTAATGAGTTGAATGACAAAATTTGATGAGTAAACACTCGAATCGACTCTTTACATCTCGATGACACATTACCAGTGAGTTTGGTTCATGTCTAATTGGGTAACAAAAGATAAGTGAAAGCCAAGAGTGAGATAAAAAATATGCAATGGCCGGGAATCGAACCCGGGCCGCCCGCGTGGCAGGCGAGCATTCTACCACTGAACCACCATTGCTCTTCATATCATTCAACGATTTGCTTACCTACAGTTTAGCACTTAAATTTTTGGTCTCAATCGTAGTTTTAAGCGAAAGTAACGTTGAATTTGATAAACAATATTTACTTTTTACTATCAATACATAAAGCAAACCATTTCAACTATTTAAATTCACTATAATATTGACAAAATTTAACTCGCTAATTAGATCAAAATGACGTTTGATTGACCAGTGTACATTTAAATTCATTTAATTCATTTGCATTAGCTTTACCCTCTCAATGGGTCCACAGATTTTACCATTTGGAAAGTACATTAATCAAATGAGTAATTGAAATTGAGTTTGTTATGAAAAGATAATTTTTCAACTAAAAATATGCAAACTTGCATTACAATGAGCAGGTTAAATGAAAATTGATTTGTAACTATTAGTGAAACTACTCTCGACTAACTGCAGTTTAATTAACATGAAAAAAGTAATTGACTTAATCATTGTCAACAATTTCGAGTTTAATTTACCATTAGTTGAAACTTGAATCTGTGAAAATGATGATTTCAGTAAATGCCAAATGAACATTTCTAATTAGCAAAAACCTCCGCTTCAATCACAATATTAGTTGATGAAAAAATTAATTAGCCCTTGATTAGAGTTGGATGATTTGAATTAGCAAAAGCTTTTAATTTAAAGAAATTCAGTTTAAAGAGTAAATTGTTCCTAAACTGGTTAACATTAAACACAAATTCAGTTGATCAACTTTACTTTTCATGGAATCATTTGATTGATTGGAAAATCACTTGAACCAATTAAACACATGATTCAATTTAAATGGATTCACCATTTGGATCGAATTATGAATCAATGTTTATCTTGTTTCCATCCGAACCTCATTGACTTGGACTGTTCCAATTCAATGGTAATATCATAATAGAATCAATTATTGACTCTTTTACATGAGACTTTTCATGTTTCCTACTTTTAATCCTTTTATATCTTCAATCATCTGTTTATGATGACGCTTTTGATTGAAATGTTTGTTCAACTTGTGAAAGATTTAACAACTTTCTTTCATCATGTTATCAGTTGAGAAGCAATATAAATGATAACAATCTGAACATTGAAATTCAATGAATAATAGCATGATAACATGGGATGGATACGAGGTGAAGAAGGAAAAAATTACTGAATCAACAGAAGAAATGATTTGATTAACAAAGACAAGTTGACAGAGTTGAGAATTGAGCTTCAAATTGAATTAAAATTGATTTGCAATTCATCATCATAATTTGATTATTTGATTGTGTAATGTGCACATTAAATGGGCCAACATTGAGATTAAATTTGTCTTTACTTTTTTTCCCTGACTTGCCATTGAATATGCAAATCACAATAATAAACAATAAAACTGTTGAGCTAATTTATACCATATTAGACTTGCAAGTTAAGTTGAACTGGAAAAGCATTTAAGACGTGAATAAAAATAAGAGTAAAGGAAAGGGTTAAAGTGTTTCAAATTGTAAATCAACAATCCAAGTGAAAGCATAAAGTTGCAAGTTATCAACTCGACTAAGCAAACTTATGAAACACTGTGGTTGTGAGAAGAAGTAAAACGAAGTAAAATTGAATAAAGAACAAGAAGAACATGAAGAAAAGGAAAAACATTGAAAAGAGGAAAAAAGATGTAAACAAGTTTCAATTGAAAGGGAAGAGTTGAATGGTAAACTTAAACCTTTGAAGGATGCAAATTCGAGTTTTCATTTGTACCTTTCTCATGAAAAGTAACGAGAAAATTGAAGCTAATAAAAACATGAAAAACATTCATGATAATACATTTATGTACACTTGACTGTTTGGTCTCTCTGCATATCATTACTTATCATCATAATTTTTTTGCTTCAAGAATAATGTTTGTAACTTTGTTTAACTTTTTTTACTTTTGATTTTTTTCTTCTTCTCTTTTCAGGGTTTTACCTGAATCACCTTTATGGACATTAACGCAAGGTCGAAGTTTGGAAGCTGAAAGTTTATTCCAACAATTGGGTAAACGCAATGGTAAACCTCTTCCATCCAATTTAAGGGATTACCTGGAAGCAGCAGCAAACTATTTTATAAACAACAACAATCACAATAATCATGTTAACAGTTATTCTCGGAATAACATTCACAAATGTAATAATATTAATGATACCAATGATAATAATAATGGTAATGGTTATGGTCAAAGTAAAGGTAATAACGTGTCTTTGACAAGGAAAGTTACACCAATTACAGATGAACATAAACCTGAAACGTTAGACTTTCAGGTCAAGTTGGGTTCATCAGTCAGACGTAAACTGGTTTCACCTTGGCTTCGATGGTGTTTAGCCTCCAATTTGTACCTTTCATTTGTCACTCACCTAACAATGGACGTTCTTGATTCCCAAATATTCCAATTCCATGAGACTAAATATGCAGACTACTTTTATCGTGGACTCATGGATCTCGGTCTAATAACGATAATTTATTTTCTAGTGGCCAGGTAAGTAACGAAAGTAAAACAAAAAACATTCAAACTGGAAAAGCAAATGCAAATGTCCAATTCTTATCAAACTTTTTCTTTCGAAAGTTCTTTTAAAATCAATTCTGTACAGAATTTAATCAGAAGATGAATGAAACATGTTGAAATATTGCTTAAAGGGTATTGATTTTGAAATTAAAGTTTGAAAATTGACTTTTCTTTTGATTCATTTTTCACGTGAATTTATTATTGCAGGTAAAAATGTTGAAGAAACATTTTCTCATTCAATATTCAGTTGAGATTTGAAATTTTAATTCAATTGCATGTGCTTTGCACCATGAAATTCAATTAGTGAATGGTAAACCAGTTGAATGTGACTGTTGCTCATGACTGTTATAAGGTTTAATCAAATTTTTGTTTCATTTCCAGATTCGGTTCTCGTGGTCTTCAATCGTCACTCTTCATCTTACCTGGTTTCTTGATGATCATTGCAATCTCATTTCAAGAATCTTTGCCAATTCTCACGGAATATGGTAAGAAATTAATCTTGATAAATTATACATTTTGCGATATTAGCATGAATAAATGTCAGGAAAAGGAAATTAAATTCACTGATATCTAAATAGAGAGTTGACTTTACCTTTACCCTTTAATATCAGGGATTGTTAGTCTTACCTTTTTCTGTCCATTATTCATTACAAACCTATTCTGATTGCTAGTGATTTGTGAAAATTTTACCTCAATAAATAAACCATTTGAATAATGAATTATTGTAATCTGGAAATGAAGACTTTGGACGAAAGAGTAAAAGTTGAATATAAAATATTTAGTCAATTTTTTCATTAATATAATCAATAATGTTGGTACTTTTGATGTTATTATGTGTCATTAAATTAATGATTGAATTTCAACAGATTGGTTTGATTTCCGTTTACTTTTGGTTCCATCAACATGTTTTCGTGGATCTGAAGCTTTGATAAAAATTTTACCAACATTCATCTGGTTTCACTCAATGAAAACTTTACCAACAGAAATCAGGTAACATTAAACTCATGAATCATCTTGAATAATTCAATTGGGTCATGATTAGTTCAACTTCAAGTGCCAATGTACTCAACATAAAGGAAACTTCAATTCAATCAATTGATGTCTTTAAATTGAAGTCAATTCTTAAAATAACTACAAAGAGAGTCAACTTTGTATCAAAAATAAAATGAAATATTTATCAGCACTTATTAACTTTTGTCATCAGATTAACTCATTAGTTAAGTTTCTTGTTACAATATTACAAAATAACTCCATTAAAGGTACCACAAGCTGATGGAATGAAAGGATCAGATCAAGCTTGGTCAAAGACTGAATTTCTCAAGTTGCTCTAAACTTGAACTCTGATTGACCTTCAGTCAAAATGTTAGGATTAAATAAACTCTAGTCACCAAGCTAAGCTCGAAAATGTAACTCAAATCTTAACCAGATAATGGTTGGAAAAACTGATTCACAGTTGAAAGACCTTCGATTAATGAGTAAACTACAGAAAACGAAGTCTGTAGAGCATCAAGAAATAATGAGTTTCGATAAATTGTCTATCAATAAATCACTATTCGAATTTAGGTGATAACAAAATATTCCTTTTAATGGATCTTTTAAACTTTTGAGCGAAAAATTTTAATTAATATTGAATAATTGAATATTATCGTCTTCTCGAACAACTTAAAATTGTTTAGACAAAACCCGAAATTACTCATGAAAATTAGTTATTACTGCCGACTAGTCATACAAAAGGAAAAGAAAATTTCGATTGAGAAGGAAGAAACATTTTGAGGGATAAACTGTGAATACAAACTGTAAAATGAAGAGAGACAAATGGTCAGAATAATTTCTTCAGAGGTTAGTAATCAACCAGTTTAAAACATTGAATCTGGTTGACTAAGCTTAATGGGTTGAACTGGTTAACAATCTGAATATTTGACACTTCATTATTTTTGTAACGAACGTTATCGTTTGAACAATCTTTTATTTTACTCATTTCAACCTTTTCTTCCATCACAGAGCTTCAGGATTTTCACTTATTTATTCAGCTGGAATCATTGGTAAACTTGCAGCGCCCAATTTATCAATTCTGGTAAGTTTACTTCATCATGCGAAGTTTGTTAATTTTGAGAAATGTTTTTCAATTTTCATCCTCTCATATTCACACACACATAAGAGATGAAGATGAACAAGAAGAGAAACTCATTAGTTTCGGATAAAGGAGATGAAGGCGAAAAGATGTGAGAAAATAATTATGATAAAGAATTATAAAAGTGAAATAACAATTTCATTAGTAAATTTGTTAACTTTGAGATGAATGGAAAAGGGTTGAAAGAAAATTTTGTTTCAAAACAAAAATAGCAACAAAAATTGTTTATAATATTAATCAGTTTTCTTGAGCATCAACAACTTTTTGCATTAATTTTCACTCCCTGTTCAGTGTAACATGATTGATAAACGCAATTTAACCATTCATCCTTTCCCACCTTAAATCATCAGATTATCAACAGTTTATGATGAACAATTATACTGCAAGAATTAAGGTCAATTATTTACTTTTTCAAATTTAATTTATAAATGTTGAATCAAAGTTCCATCAACACACATCAAGATGCAACATGAGCTCACATTTTTTTTATTCATCATTCATTATTATTTTATAACATGAAGATAAAAAATCAGAAAGAACAAGTTGAAATTTTCATGAGGGAACAAAAAGAGATTTGCAAAGTTCAATCATGAAGGAACATTTTTTTCTCTTCTTTTTTGATTAAATTTTTTCGCTACTTTTTCTCGAAAAATTCAATCTCAAGTTTGTCAGATATTCACAATGATTGTAATGTGAATAATTATTCGTTTATCACAGAATTTTGCGTGAAAAAGAAATTCCTAATTCTGCTATTCTCTCTTTGCTTTTCAACTTGTTTTAGCTTAATGTTTTTTGTCTTTCAAAATGCTCAACTCAGACAGCCTGCAACTGGGAGTGAAAAATATTTCAAGAGAATAATAACATTTTTTGTTGCGTTTTTTCCATACGTTTCATTTGTTCAGAGTTGAGCAGTTTTGAAATGAAATTTGAGGGAAAAATGATAAATGAAGAGAGAAAAGAATAAATTTTCATTCAATTATTTTGTGATTAAAATGGAGTAAATTTGAAAATATTAAGTTTCCATTTGGAGGCAAATTAAATGTTGAACATGGAAAACAATTCATCAATCAATTACGAAATGTTTACTTGTTTAATCTTTTTCATCATTAATATTATTTATTATTCAATAGAAAATGAATTATGTTGAATTATTTTGAGGTTTTCTTCTTGCAATTCAATAGATTGTACTATTTGCCCAGTTTAATCAAATTATTTCATTACCAATTGAAACATTTAGGATAATTTGAACGACAAAAAAGACGAAAAACAAGATTAAATTTGATGAAATTGTTCATGAATAAATTATTATTCAATATTGAGCGGATCTTTTGTCACAAAAATAGGTTTTAATGAAATTCAATTGAAATTTGATTAGTCGAATGACTTTGAAAAAGTAAATGAAAATAAAGACTAAACAGCATTTTAACCCTTTATTGTTCATTATTTATGCAGGGTGAAACCATGGACAACTCAATTCCGATTGGACTGTGTGGACTTTTGTGCCTAATTGCAGGAGGATTGTCATTTTTATTTCCCAAAGAGTGCGAGACAGTATCACTGGTAGGTCCACCTTTGGTTACACCTAGACTGGTACCCACCATTAGTGAACCCATGTTGGTGAACCTTAATCGGTCACCAATCAAGTCTCAAAACAGTCTTTCATCATACATGGATGGTTCATCATCATCTTTACCTTCATCGGCAGCAGCAGTAGCAGCAGCATCAGCAGCTACTCACTGCAAAGGGACATACAGTCAACCTCCAGGATCGAGTGTCTCGATTAATCCCAAGAGTCGCATGTCTTATGATGATATTGATACTGCTACTGTGACTGTCATGGGTGATGCTTTGCCTTCAATCACGGCTCATCACTTGCATCAACATCATAAAAATGATTTTGGTCCACACTTGGAGACATTGAATGCCGATCAGGCTGGCCGAGGATCGCGACCTTCAACCTTGTACAATACTGACCTCGAGTCAAATTTATCTGACTTAGAAGACCTTTTTGGTTTTGATAACTGGCATTTATCATCGACGTCAAATTTTGGTCAAACCCGTTCAAACAATACTCTTAGCTACTTATCTTTTTGTAATAGACGAAATTTATCCTATGAACGATCTCGAGCAACGGAAAGTCTAACTCTTACACTTCCCAATGCTGATCCCAATTCACTGTTTACACTCTGAAAATTGTTTCAATAAATTACAAAATTTTCACTACAAATGCACTACGAAACAAGTTTCCAAAAAGGTCCAAAGCTTTTTCAGCTCCTCGAGAACATTTAAAAGGATTTCATTACATTTCAACAGGCTAGCAGAAATTGAAAAATTGAGCTAATATCGCTATCGAAGGTTTGGAATTTTCTTCCTAAAGTCAGGGTAGTCAAAACTTCTTGAAAAACTACAGACGGAAGGGGCTTGAAGGTGATGTAAACCCTGGCTTTTGTATGCTACTATTAATCATTCTTGCAAAATATTTTCTTGGATGGGAAAGCGGAAAATCGTGCTAGAGAGCCGAGTAATAGCCAAAAGATATCACAAAAATTAGCTGGAATGTAGAGCACCTAAAGAGATGTTAAGAAACTTTTTTGGTTACCTAATAGATTCACTAAACAGAAGTGCAAAAAAGAAGTTAAAAATGCATTATCATGGGAGGAAAGGGTAAATAATAGCAATGAAATGCAATATTCTAATGGTATTAATGGTCTTGGAAGCTATTATTATCATCACAGTTCTCATTATTACACAGATAAGTCGGTAAAAAGACATGGTAATAACAATATGAGGAAAAGTTGTCAATAATGACAATAATATTACACTGTAATAATATAGTGATAACCTAAGAAAAGAAAGTAAAGGTAAAATGAAGGAAAACTCAGTAAAAGTTGAGACAAAGACACGAATGAAGTTGATGAAGATGGAATGAACGAAAAATGGAAAAGAAAATAAAAAAAATGTAAATAAACAAATGGTTAACCATTTTGCTTGGTTGATTTTTGTTGATAACATGGAGTTTTGAAAGTGACAAAAGACAAAATGATAGCAATCAAAGTAATCATTACATTGTATTTATATCGTAAAACTGTCACGAATTGTTTGCAACTCAACCGTTTCAGTTTATTGTATACCGTTGGGTTGTTTTGTCATTCACTATCAGCCTGATTCATTGCCTTGGAATTTCATCCATTTCCAAATTCAACTTTGCTTGAACCCAGAAGAAGAGAAAGATGCAAAATTGGTTCATTATTTGACTAAACTTTTTTGTTCAACATTTTTGAAACATTTCGCTGTTCCTCTTCGCTGTTCAATCATTTGATGATTTTGTTGTTTTAATCCTTCCAGTAATTCAATATATTAATACAAATGAAACATTTTTGCATAATTTGTGTTACCCATTGCAATAGCCTGGGGAATAGTTTGTTACCTTGAATTAGCTTAGCTAAACATTTGATGTCTAAATGCCTAAATACTGCATGAAATTTATGTTAATTATAGCAACAGTTAACGATAACGATCATCCAGAATTTTCATGGAACAGACATTTCTAGAAAGAAATTTGATTCTTTTACGGTTTGATATTTGCTGAACAGCCTAACATTGAATTTTGTGATTACTTAGATTCAACTTGTTCTGAGTTTTCGTTTGAAATGTAAAACTTAATGTGAATTTGTTGCTCAAAACTTTAGGGTTCTGTTGTTGATGCCAATAGACCAGTTCCAGACTATCGTTTTGTAAATAACAAACTGTTTAAGAAGAAAATATTTGGGTTTTGATACTTTAAAAGTTATCTAATTTATATTCAATTGCACTCCTGAGCTTTAACACAAACACAATATTGTCTCAATTTTTATCGGCGATTTTGCGCATAGCGATTGGTTACAGAAATCTGATTCTTAACCAAGATTATCAAAGATCTTTTAAAAGATTTTATGAATTCGATAGTGCTTCAATTTTACAGAAAAAAGTCTTTATATTGATCATGACGAAACAAAGGACCATTCATTTGGTACATTTAAGATTTTGAATGAGTATAGCTTCGAAACCAGAATTATTGACTCAAGAAACGAGCATGGAAATTTCATGAGCATTCATTTTTTGCTTTTGAAGCATGTAGGTTATCCAAGGTCTAAAGGTTATTTGACCTCTGATCGACACGGTTATATTATGCACTGAAACAAATGGCGAAGAGATTCTGTAAAAGTTGGTTTCTTGAAGGTTTACTTCAATTGTCTTATCAAATTAGTTTTTACCTTTTGCAGTTAGTAAAAAATTTTCATGGTCAATAGTTTATTGCCATCAATTGCCATCAATCATTTAATCAATCAAAAGTTAATTTTGTTCAATCAAAAATAGAGAGTTGTTTTTTCTTACCTGATGTGGACAGCAGCTACAAAAACTATAAAACAGACTAATTCTCGATATCGAGTCTCCATTCATTCTTCAGGAGTCAAAAGAAAGGTGAGTTCTGTAACTGGGGACCAACATACGGGCACCAGTTATCCTGTTAGACTCGATTCCTAAAATTGAATAATCTTTTATTGACACTTGAATGGCTCCATGCTATTCACATTAGTGGATAATGTTTACTTATCAAATAGAGGAAAATTCAATGTCAAATGAAACAATCCAAACATTGAATAAGAAGATAATAAAGATGAAGATGAAATAATTTTTTATTAGTCGACTGTTTTGTCAATCGCTCATTTTACATGTAAACCTAAAGAATCATGAAAAGAAACAGAAAGAATGGTTTTTACAATCATTTCATTCCTGAAATGAATGTGATGAAAATGATTTAACAACGATAAGAGGATTATGAGATGAGAAACACAATCAAAAATAAAACGAGCAAAATAAAGTGAAATATAAAGATGAAAGTAGGAAACTGTGAACTGGGATTGATAATAATGTAGACAATGATGAGATGGAGATTTAACAAGCCGAAAAACTTTACTTCTAGCAAATCTTGAAACTTAATAACATATCAATGAACAAAAAGAATACAAATATATTTAATTAACTGAAAGTTGAATTTTCATCAAAAGCAGATAAGATATTTCCAGACAAACTGATTCATTTAAAAATATTTAAACACCTAACATTTAAAGAAAATTAGAAGTTAGTAATACATTGAATTAAAGATGATGATTGTCGAGAATAAGCCTCAAGTTTTAATTTTTTGCAGAAAATGCTGAGACCCAGAAACTCGAGAAAAGCTTAAATTCGTTTTCAATTGCACTTTGAGGTCAATTGTTTTGTTAAGGGTGTGCAAAGCGATAAGAAATTCGTATTAATGAAAAAATATCAACATGTGGAACTGGAATGATAAAACAAAAAAGGATTTTTCTCTGTAAAAATTGAATCTACATAATTGGAGTGATGATTATGATAATAATGACGATTATCATCATTATCGAAAGATAAATGATAATCATCATGGAACATCATCAACAAACTCATTTTACTCCCTGTTAATGTTTCGTCATAATTATAGCTACTATTTTCTCTCGTTATATTTTTCCAAATACACCAGTTATTGTGCTCAAATAATCCTTATCGTTTATAAAACACATCAAATATTTATTTTAAAATTAGATCAACGAATGGTTTTTCTTTTATACTCTGATTCCATGCGACGCATTAGCTGCGATGAAATAACGTTATATAAAAGAGAGAGAACAGAGAAAGTTAACCACAAAATATTAGGAACAAATGTATAAACAAAACTACTATTATATTTTCAGATCAACTCGTAATGAACATACAATTTTTTCACCAGGAAAGGCTCACTTTTCACTAATCTAAAGTCAAAATGCAAAGACGAGTAACAAGGGTACCCAAGTTATGAATACTTAAGTGGTTGAGGATAAAGATGACTCGAATGCTGATGATTCAGGGTCTCCAGAGTCAGAGTCTCCAGAGTTAGAATTGGTTAAACCTCAAAAGCTCAAAACCAAAAGACTTATACGGGTTGCTGTAAAATGAGACCAAATTTAAACAATAATATTTAGGTAATTATTAGGTTAATATTAGGTTAGTATTAGTATTAATAGTAATAGTAATAAAGATACAGGTAAGGTTTTACTTTTACGGAGAAAGGCGTCACAAAATGAACATATGAGAAGACATTTAAACACTTATCCAATGGTGGAAGTCCTTTTAATGGTGTTTTTGGTGAACACTGAAATAGAAGAAAAATAAAGAAGTAAAACATGAAATAAACAAAAATATGGAACCAGAAAACCAGAAAATCACGTGTAAGGGTTAAAGGATGCGATAAGGGTTAAACATGCTTTTTAGACATTTAGTAAATGTAGAGTAAATCGAGTAAATGTTCATCTTATTCAATAGTGATGTGGGACCAAAATTTTTTTACTACTTTAACACCATTCAATTTTAATCAAAAAATGACATTACCTGAAGATGAAGAACCTGGAATTACATTTGCAAAAAACTTCAAACTTCTTCCAAATGGCGAAGAATATAACTGTTTAAAGACAGTGAACTGTTCTGGTGTTATGAGGAAAAACAAATGTAAAACAACTAAGTTCAATTATATTTATACATGTGGTAAATGTGGAAAAAAATATCACCAAGCTCTGGAACTTGGTTTGAAAGAGGTCACTTATCAATACTTGAAAACCTGGCAATAATTTTTTTATGGTGTTCGGAAACTGGCAACAAAAACACTTCAATGTTCACCTGTAAATCACCGAAAACAATTGTAAGCAAACGAAAAAATATAAGAGAAATTGCTATCAAACATTGGATGGACAATCGAAATGAAATTGGTGGTGCAGGCAAAATAGTCGAGATCGATGAATCTCTAGTCTTCAAACGAAAAAACAATGTTGGAAGACTATTATCAAATGAAGAAGATGGAATATGGATAGTTGGTGGCTTGGAGAGAGAAAGTAGGAATTGTTTTCTCGAATTAGTGGAAAAAAGAAATAAACAAACACTTAATGAACTAATTAAGTTCTGGGTGAAACCAGAAACTCATATCATGACTGACTGTTGGGGAGGCTATTTGGAGTTAACAAAAATGGGTTATCAACATGGACAAGTGAACCACTCAAAAAATTTCTTAAATCCAGAAGATAAAAATATAAACACACAGAGGATCGAGAGATTCTGGAAAAGCTTGAAATCCAACTTACCGAAGGAGACCAATGGTTCAAAAAAACGAGACTATCTTAATGAATTTTGCT